GGTCAGGAGAGGTCTGCCACGCCATGTGGTCACCTCCAGGGCAGGCGGGAATCGAACTCATGTGGAAGTGAGTTTAGCTTCTCAGTGCAGTGCTTTAACCCGCTGCGCCACCAGGGAGGGCCCCAATATATTTTAATGTGTAACTATTTTTACAACATCTTTTGTGCATTTTTCCAACCATGAGGATATTCTTTTAAAGAAAATGGGTGCAAGGATGCCAATATTGTACTGAAGTTCCATCCACAATGATTAGGCAGGAATAAAAAAATGAAATGCATCCAGAAAAAAATGAAAAAAGTTCTATTTACAAATGACCTGATCGTATATATAGGAAATCTTAAATAAAATCTGTTCCATCACAAAACCTATTCCAGCTAATAAATTAAGTTGTATGATTGCTGTAAGCTTACACAAACACAAATGAATAATCCAAAAATGAAATTAGGAAAACAATTCCATCTATAATATCAAAATAGTTAGAAATAGATTTAATGAAATACAGAAATTATATGCTGAAAACTATTATGTGTTACTTAAAAGAGTTAAAAAAAAGAAATTGGGGCTCCCTGTTGCTATAAGGGGTTAAAGCACAGCACTATGTTATCACCACTGCAGCATGAGTTCAATCCCCTGCCAGGGAGGTGATCCACATGGCACAGTAGACTTCTGTCTTGCCTGCTGCTCCCCTCAGAAGTTTATTATTTCAGTCGATCTGCCTGTTTTATTCCCCATTGTATCTCTGGCGAATCCTTTCAACCCCCTTCTCCCTGCATGCACACCTCTGGCCTGTACCCCAGTTCTTGTATGCATAAATAAATAAATCTTTAAAAGAAATCCATTTATTAATTGGAGCCCTTAATATTACACAGATGGCAGTATACTCTAAACTGATTTGAATGGTCAGTATAATCCCTATTGATATATAAATTGGATTCTTCATAGAAATTATTAATATGGAAAATCAAGGGATCAAGAATAACCAAAACACTTTTGAAAAAGATTGGCAAAGTTGGGTAATTCACCCTTCTTATTTCAACTCTTACCTGGCATATGCTGCAGGAATACTGGTATGGAATAGATTGACAGTTTGAAGTAAACCCATTTGGCTATGATCAACTGATTTAAAAAAAAGATTTATTTATTTATGCATACAAGAACTGGGGTGCAGGCCAGAGGTGTGTGTGGGGTGGTGGTGAGATGATTCACCACAGACAGAGCAAAAAAGGCAGTGCTACTGAAAAACACTGCTGAGGGGAGCGGCAGGCAAGACAGGAGAAGTCTGCTGTACTATTTGGGTCACCTCCCTGGCTGGGGATCAAGCTGTGATGCTGTGGCTGCCAACAGCTTCATACATAATGCTGAGACTTAACCCCTTGTGCCACCAGGGAAGCCATGATCAACCAATTTTTGACAAGGATACCAAGATCTTTCAATAGAGGAAAGAAGTATCTTCAACAAATGATGCTGAGACAACTGAATATTCATATAGAATAAGATCAACTCTTAACCTTATACCATATACAAGGATAAACTAAACTTGGGTTACAGATCTAAAAAAAGAACTGAAACCATAAAACCCTTAGAAAACATTGGAGCAAATGTTCATGACCTGGATTTGGCAATGGTTTACCTATAACACCAAAAGTAAAAGCAACAAAAGAAAAATTTGGGACCTCCTTGATGGCCTAGGGATTAAGTCTCTATTAAGCACTATTACCTTGATAGCCCACCCTGACAGTCTGAGTTCCATCCTGGCCAAGGAGCTACCCACATGGCACAGCAGACCTCTCTTTTTGCCCCCTGCTCCCTTTAGCAGTGTCTCTCTGTAAATCCACCTCTTCTGCTTCCCACCTTGTCTCTGGTGAATCCTCCCCCACACTTCTGGCCTGCACCACAGTTCCTATGAGTGGCTGAAGCCAAAGACTGTTAACAGGTGGTGCCCTCTAGAGGTGGGTGCTGGTGAGAATAGATGGACCTGGGAAATGCAAACAAAGTATCACATTTAGGGGTAGAAATTCTAAGGGGACCCTTCCTGGTGGCACAAGAAGTTAAAGCACAGCAGTACGAAGCCACCCGGAACCACTGCAGCAGAGTTTGAACTTCAGCCAGAGAGCTATCCACAGGGTGAGGCAGACCTCTCCTGTTTCTCATGCTGCTCCCCTCAACAGTGCATTTCAGGTCACCTGCCTATTCTCTCAGCACTGTTCCTTTCACTCTGCTCCAAGCACCTCTGGCCAGTACCCGAGTTCTTATATGTATAAATAAATCTGTAAAACAAAATAATGGACTACAGAAGCAGCCCCCAGCATTTGGTGTTCAGGATTTAGAGTTCTGAATATTCAGTTTTTGGATCTTCAGCAATTCCAGAGCGGGCCCCTACCATGCTGATCTTCCAGAAAGCTGTTGTGGGCCTCTGAAGAATGTGGAGGCTTCCAGCAGCCTATCTCGAGAGGGAAAGTTCAGAGGCTTTGCAGGTAGCTAAATGACTGAAACTGTTCCTGGTTTTGCTGCTCTAACATCCTGGCAGGGAAGGCAAAGGCCTGGAGCTGGGCGTCTTGCTGAGCTGCGTGAGTGGGGCCATTTATCAGGTTCTTCATACACTGCAACAATTGTATGAGTGTTGCTTGTCTTGTGCTCTGCTAGGGCATCTCAGCAGCTCCAGGAGCATCTCCTATTGTGTTCTCTGCTGTCTTTGAGTTGGATTCCAGCCTATAGTCTGACAGCCACATGCTTCAGGTCCACCGTGGCAGGAAGACACATCTTCAGAGTTTGGCTTATTGTTTGGGAGAAGAGCTCTGCATCTTCAGTGGCAGGAAGACACCATTGTTGGAATGTTTGTGTTTAGAACTTTAAACACTGCCTTGAGTGAGGTAAACAGCCATTTTTGGCCTCTGTAACTGTTTTTTTTCCTTGATAAATCAACCCCATTATTGTTCTCTGAACCTGAGTATTGCAGTTGTTTGCATAGGTGAAAAACTGCAGTGCCCTTTGCAGTGTTAGTGTCCCTTGCTGCCCTGTGCAAAACTAAGTGTAAGTGTGAAAAGACAAATCCGAGTGTGGAAAAATACAAATCTTATACATGTGTAGTGTTAGACATGTACAAAGAACTCCAACTCAACAAGAGATAACCCAGTTATAAGGGTAAAGAATTTGAAAGAATATTATCTCCAAAAATAAATTATCAGCAGTTACTAGAAAATGCAGGTAAAAGCACAATGAGATAGCACTTCATACCCAGATGGCCAGATTTGAAAAAAATGTAAATAAGTATTGGTCAGGATGTTACATATTAGAACTCTTGTACAATGCTGATGCGAATGTAAAATGGTACAACTCTAGTGAAAGAGTTTGTAGTTTTCAAAAATTTAAACAGAGGCATCCGTGATGGTGCAGGAGTTAATGTCAGACCTATCAAGCCACTGTGGCATGGATTCCATCTATGGTCAGGGAGCTGACCCACACAGCACAGACCTCTCCTGTCTGGCTTGCTGCTCCCCTCAGCAGTGTATTTCAGTCTATCTTTCTCTTCTGCTCCCAACTCGTCTCTGGTGAATCCTCTCACCGCCCCTGCACCTCTGGCCTGTAGCCCAGGTCTGTATGCATAAATCTTTTAAAAAAAGGTTAAAATTTTAAAAAGCTAAAATGTAAACAGAATGACCCAATTCATTCTTAGTAAATTACCCAAATACTTGTTCAAGAACGTTGCTGGAGCCCTCCCTAGTGGTACAACAGGTTAAATAAAGCTCAGCATTATGAAGCTATCCACAGGGACTGTAGCATCACAGCCATGAATTTGATCTCCAGCCAGGGAGGTGACCCACGAGGCGTGGCAGACTTCTCCTGACCTGCCTACTGCTCCCTTCAGCAGGTATTTCAGTACACCTGCCTGTTCTGCTCTCCACTGTGTCTCTGGTATATTTTCTTACCTCCCACACCTCTGACCTGTACTCCAGTTCTTGTATGCATACATAAATTTTTCAAAGCTAAATCTTTGCTAGTAGGATCTTCACAACACCCAACAGGTAGAAACAAACCAAATACCATTATTGGATGGATGTTTTTCCACAGATGTCTTTGTATTGAGCTTGCCAAGGTGGTTTCTGTAAAAATTGCTAAAAAGCTTTTCTCTGCTACTCTGGTTGTTCTAAAATCCCATGAAAAATTAAAATTACAGTCCGTAACTACTGGCCATATTTCTAGTAAGCAAGGACCACTTTCAGTCAGGTTACCAGGCAATGAAAACCAATTTTTATTGTCCAAAATCAAATCAGAAAGGATTTACTAATACCAATGACCACATACCCTTGAATGAGTCTTCTGCCCATTACATGACATTGTTTCCCCTTTAACAACTATTTCCTAGAAACCCAATCAAATCACAGGCCCCAGTGATTATATAAACTTGAAATTAAGCTCCTGTTCTTAAGAATTTTTTTCTGCCTGCAAATAACAACAGATTGCCAACTTCTTTAAACCTACCTGCCTTTAATCAGGGTAATTTGGGGGGCCTCCCTGGTGGCGTAGGGGTTAAGTCTTAGTGCTATCACCACTACGGCCTGAGGTTGAGCCCCAGAAAGGGAGTGAACCCCCATTTGGTACAGGAGACCTGTTTTGTCTCACCTGCTGCTTCCCTCAGCGTGTATTTCAGTAGATCTGCCTGTTCTGCTCCCCACTATATCTCTAGTGAGTCCTCTCACACACACACCCACACCTCTGGACTGTACCCCAGTTCTTGTATGCATAAATAAATCCTTAAAAAAATTACTCTCCCTTTTGGGAGGTAAGGGCCGGGTTTACTCTAAGTTTAGGAATAAAATTCATGTCATTTCACAAGGGATGGAAGGTGGAAAAGCCTAATTTATGACTTTTTGTGTTAACATTTTTGGGGGGATGGAATTGGGGTTTAGGGCTGAGATGGAGAGTGAGAGGATCCACCAGAGACAGAATGGCAAGCAGAACAGGTGGATCTACTAAAATATGCTGCTCACAGGAGCAGTGGGCAAGATAGGTCTGTTGTATTGTGTGACTGTGTGGGTCAGCTACCTGGCTAGGGAGTAAACTTAGGCTGTAGCGGTGACAGCACTGACACTTAACCCCTACTTCACCAGGGAGGACCTAAAAGAAAAACAATTTGATTTTTGCTATCCTTTTTCAGACTACTGATGTTTAACACCAACATTTTTCCATTAAGAGAACAATCTTCCAGGGTCGTTCTCAAGTTGTGAATAAGCCAGGTCTAAGTAGAATTGAGTTACGATGAGCAGAAATGATTCAGAGGCACCTTTTATTTTTCCTTTTGTTTCACTACTTATTTATTTGGTTTTAGTTCTAATATTGATTTTTTTCATAAATATTTGTTTCACATCTCCAAGAAGACTCCTCGAGAGCAGTGCACACATCTTCTTTGCATCATGAATTAGCACCTGGTACACAGTAGATGCTCATCGAATACTTTAACCACATTTTTCTAATCCCACAAGCAGTGCTTCCCAAAATGTGACAGTTAAGGTTTAAAGGGATAATAGACCCAGCAACAAACATCATTTCAAATGGGAGGTTTCTTTTTATTCTTTTGATTATGTGCATGTATAAATGTTGCCCGCTATCCTTTTACACATGCTAGCTTTCCCTTCTCACAGATTCAGAAACCTCCAAAGGAACAGTATTTATCTAAAATGTTTATTTCATTATATTTATTTTTTACAGCTAGTGTCTATGGCAATTTATATTGGTTTTCCACTTAGGGGAGTAACATCAAGTTTTCTTAAATACATTTAAGTAGAAATAGTAAATCAATTTAAAGGAAAAAAAAAAAACCTGAAGCAATGTAAAGGTGGAAGACAAATGAGGTAAAAAAAAAAAAAATTATAAAGGTGATTCACTAAAGGCTAAAGATTGGGAAACAAAGCCCTAGGCAGTTTCCTCATTTGTGAGGGTCAAGTGGGTGTGCTTCCAGTGGCCAGGTGTATCAGATGCATCGGTCTCTGAATTCACGGATATGACAAAGCTAGTATCACATGTTAACAAGAATCTGCTACATTTTGTGAGTATCACACACCATACAGTATGCTACAAAAACAGAAATCAAATATTAAAGCCAAAGCAAATTCTTGAAACTTAAAAAACAGAAGTCTTTTATAAAGCAAGGTATGTTCTAGTACTGAGCTGCTCCCAGAAATCCCCCCACCCCAAAGTGGTGGAGGGAAGTTAGTGGCTGTATTTAACAAGCAAAGTATCATCAAAATTGAATTACCCAACTTTTATTATTCCAACTGCAGTGTAAAGAGATGTCACATTCATCACAGTTGCTTTGGGGAATGTACAACTTCTGCAGCCTTCAAACCAAGGTAGAAAGCCACACAACTCTGTAAGACAAGCCCATGAGGTACACTTTTATGAAGGAAAGGCTGGGTCTCTTTACTAAAATAAGTTTTCAGTATATTCCAGTAACACACACCCTAGTACTGCTTACAAACCAAAGAGCAATACATTATATAACACACCCCTTGAAATGGAGAAGTGGCTCATTCTGTGGGAATAACATCTTTGGACTCTGCATCCATTTGTTCCACTTCAGCTTCCAGAGCAGCTTGTGGAGCAGCATTGACTGTTACAGTGCTTTCTGCCTCTGCTGCAGTCAGGGCCTCCACTTCACATCCAACTTCAGCAGATTCACCTTCAACCTGGGCAGCTTTACTTCCAGCCTGGGCTGTTTCATCATCCCCTGCCTTACCTCCTTCCTCTGCTTCAATGTTCCCCTTCTCAGATGCCACTTCACAGGGTGTCTCTGCTTCTAGTAGCTGTTCAGGGTGGGGGCCACTAGTGGCTTCCACTGTGTCCATGGTGTCTTCCCCTTTAGTTGGTGCTTCACTATTCTCTGGAGTAGGTGCTCCTTCCCCATCTACTGCTCTCACTGCTGCTGTAATCACCTCAGCTAAGACTTCGGCAGCCACCTCTTCAGGTGTCTCTTCCTTATCATCGCCTCCTAAATTTTCATCTCCTTCAATTTCTGGATCAACGACTTCACTGGTGAAAGGGTCTTCACCCTGGCCAAAGAATGGGAAACACAGGTGAGTGGTCTAAAAACTGTCCAAAGGAGGTGGCCCAGGTTGCTGGGAATGACAGTCAATAAGAGAAAATTAATTTAAACTACACCAGGTGAGTTAACCCTACAGAACTTTAGAGCTTATAAATGCAGGAGAGAAATCTCAGAAAAGCTTCACAGAAATACTTTACATTTCTCTTTTTAGAAGATTTATTGCTTGTATGCATATAAGAACTGGGCCAGAGGTGTGGTGAGTGAAAGGATTCACCAGAGACAGAGTGGGGCTCAGAATAGGCAGACCTACTGAAAATACACTGCCGAGGGGAGCAGCAGGAGAAACAGGCAAGCTCTGCTGTGCATGTGGGTCACCTCCCTGTCCGGGGATCAAAGTTGAGCTGCAGTGGCTGTGGATGGCTTCACAGTGCTTAGCTTTAACCCCCTATACCACCAGGGAGGCCCTCAAATCTCTTTAATATCTTTCTTTGATTAAGTATTTACCTTGTATTAAAAAAAAAAAAGAAAAGTATCCTGGGCTTACCTGGTGGCCTGAATTCAATCCCCGCCAAGGGGCCTGCATGGTACAGTAGACCTCTCTTACATCACCTGCTGCTCCTCTTAGCAGTGTTTTTCAGTAGATCAACCTGTTTTGTTCCCTACTTTGTCTCCAGTGAATCCTCGCACACCCTCCATACTTCTGGCATACCCTGGTTCTTCTAAGAAAATAACTGTTATGTTACCATCATTTGGTCAGTATTTTATGAAAAATCAATGTTTCTCGTAATGTTGGCACCACTGCACATATTAATTAAGCAGTACCATATCCCAGAGTTCCCAGGCAAGGAGTCTCAGGAAACCAGCAATTGTGACTTCCCAAGCCTGATATATTACAATCTACTTGACTTCTTCAAAAGACTCGGAAATGTACTTACAATACAATTTATCTTCATTTACTACTTCAAAAGCTTTTCCCAGCCACTGGGCTTTTTTTTTTTTTTTTTAAAGTTTACTTAGTTATACATACAAGAACTGAGGTGTAGGCCAGAAATGGGGATAGAGGGGGAGAAGATTCACCACAGACAGAAGAGCAGAAGAAGTCGATCTACTGAAATACATTGCTGAGGGGAGCAGAGGTGAGGTCTGCTGTGCTAGGTAGGTCAGCTCCCTGGCTAGGGATAGCTTGATCTCTGAGACTTGAACACCTGTGCCTCCAGACAGGTCCCCATCACTGGACTTCTGAACACAAACCTTGAGGTATTTTTCCAGCATCTTCACTATATGTCTGTTGTTCAAAACACTCTTCGCCACATGGAGGCTTGTTTTCTTGAACTGTTCAGCAGCCAACTGGGGGTAACCAAACACAAATTTTGTCAATTTAAAAAATGGCACACACAGATTTAAGGTGACAGTCAGCCAGGCTACATAAGCTGCCCTGAAATCACCCCTTTGCATACAGATGTCTAACATCTTTCTTTACAAAGCGAATCTCAAAACACTAGATTCCAAGGACGAGAGGAAAAAGGCACTACAGAGATACTGGAACTAAGTCTATGAAACAAAAAGCCTGATCCTAAAAGATAAATGAAAACAAAGACACCATTAATGCCTACTACAAAGCAAGGATGAAACAAGACTGTACACAGATCAGAAGCTATATGGATTCAGTAGGGGTAAAGGGCAATTTCCCCCCCCAGTTTTAGTTGTTACATAAATTGCTCCCTGGTGGCGCAATGTGTTAAAGTGAAGCACTGAAAGATAGCTCCAAGTGCCTCGGCACCCGTTCGATCTACATGGCGCAGTAGACCTCTCCTGTCCCATTTGCTCGTCCCCTCAGCAGCATACTTCATCAGTCTCCCTGCTCTGCTCCCCACTCTATCTCTGGTGAATCCTCTCACCGCCCCTGCACCTCTGGCCTGTATGCTAGTTCTGTGTGCATAAAATAAAAAAGTTCATGCAACACTTCCTTATTTGTTGTGTGTGTGCATTTTAAATGATCTTGAATAATAATTCTGGGAAATGGGTAGGCAGATAGTGATATCCCTGCTTAATAGCTTGGTAAACATAGAAAAAAGATGCTAGCCAGCAATTAGCAAACTAGTCTGTGGACAAAATATAGCTGCACTCACTCCTATACTTACTGTTTGTGGCTGTTTCTGCCCCTAACTGGCAGACTGTGCACTGGACAGAGACCCTATGGCCTGAAAATCTGAAAGTATTTATGATTTGAACCTTTAAAAATAGGCCAAAACTTTGAGTTAAAAATTCAGCCACAGGCCCCATCAGTTAGTAAGGACCAAACTAAGGTCAATAATCCTAGCTGCATCAAGCCATTTTGAAATTACCCTCAGCTCAACTTAAAGGAAATTTAGTTTTCAGCAACTAGGGAATTTACACATGTGATTTGCAGGAATATTCTCAAACTGGATTTCAGCTAGTGTATTATTAATACAGCTACACGTTTTATTTTTTAAAAGATTTATTTATTTACGCAAATATTAAGAACAGGGTATATAGAGTGAGATAATTCACCAGAGACAGAGTGGGCGGAGCAGAGCAGATGGATCTACTGAAATATACTGATGAGGGGAGCAGCGGGCGAGAGAGGAGAGGTCTCTGGTGGGCCATGTGGGTCACCACCCTGGCCAGGAATCAAACTTGTATTTCAGGGCACTCCCTGTTGGCACAATGAGTTGGAATGGAGCGCAGCCAGAGAGGTGACCCACATGGCACGTCAGACTTCTCCTGTCTCACTTGCTGCTCCCCTCAGCAGTGTACTTCGTAAGTCGGCTTGTCTTGCTCCCCACTCTGTCTCTGGTGGATCCTCTCACTGCTCCTGCACTTCTGGCCTATACCTCAGTTCAGTATGCATGATATATATATTGCAAAAACAAACTCATTCTGCAGTGGCTACTTCACAGTGCTGCACTTTAACCCCTAGTGCCACCAGGGAGGCCTCACAGCTACACATTTTAATAGAAATGGAGAATCATTTTACAACAAAATGATATGATAGCCTTGATGGGATACAGCAAGAATCCCTAAAAATGTTCCCATTGCCCATATGACTTAGAGGTTTCTGAATGCCACCTGCTTGCAGCCAAGGAATGCATACCCCACCCGAAGTTAAGAGGAACTCACACGACGGTTGTGATTGTGGTCAACAGAGTGCAGGTGCCGCTGGAGGAGCTGGGGCTGGGCAGGAATCAGCATGTCACAAGCCAGGCAGTGAGCAGCCTCTATCTTCTTGAAGAAGTGCTCTTGGCCAATCCCTATTGGTAAAATTTAAGTCTTGCGCAATTTGGGACAGCATACAAGTGATGCTAACCTCTACTCTCCAACAAAGCCATATTTTCTCTCTAAGCATTCAGGTCAGAATCTGAGACAAGCATAACCTGCTTTCATGCATAACCTGCTTTCACTGCAGAAGTGAGCCAGCCTCTAAATCTGTACTTCATCTTTTCATCGTCTGGTTCATTCCTATTTATACCACAGAGGAAAAAATCCTCAGCATTTTAACATCACTCTGAAGAACTGGGATTTACAATGGGACAATGAAGGTTGGGGTTCTTATTGCTAAATGCCCATCCCATTGTTATTCACACACGTTCTCAGCAGCCCTGTGCTGATTTTGCACTGAATCATATGTGGTAATATCACCTGGAGCTGAAGCACATTCTCTAGGATCAAAACTCACCTTTGAAAGGATCTGATTTTGGCTTCATGCTTTCCTTCTCCATCAATTCCTGACGCCGCTTCTCAATTTTCTTATTCCTGTTTACAATGTATTCCTAGAGGATTTGGGAGATGGCACCAAATGAAACAGAAGGTGGCACGTGTGGTTATTTCATAACTGTACCAATGGCAGCTCACCAAGGATGGCTGCCAGCTCCTCTACAGACAGCTTTCTCAGCTTCCCCAAGGTTGGGAAAATAGCTATCACAGCTGCTGAACTAGTGGGAACTATGATGGCTGGAGCTCTCAACTGTAGCACTCATTTGGGGACTTGTACACTATTATTTGGGAGAAAGGAACTCTGAGCAAATTTAGGTCTTTCATTCCACGCGCCCCCCCCCGACCCCCCCAGGTGACAGAGGCAAGTGTGTATTACCTGAAGGAACTCCACAGTCTTATCGGGCAATTTGGTACTTATAAACCTTAGTGTCTCTTTGTGAAATTTACTTTGCAGATGTTTCTGAATTTCTTCATCTTCAAAACTACGAAACTTGCACACGGAACAGGCAAACTGAATCCTGGAGGAGGGAGATAAAAAGGAGTAATAAAGGGATAATTACATAATTTCTGATGGAGCTGAAATGGAAACCAGAAAGCAATTTTTGAACCAAGACTTATAGACTTTTCAAAAGTACTAGTTCCCACTGTTCCCAGGAATGTAAACACAATTTAGCAAATATTTCAGGAACATGACTTACATAGTAACTGACTACTCTACCAGTCTCTTTGGTCTAAAGGCTACTGTGTTTCCAGTCAATTGCTCAGAGGTCTAATATGTAACACCATCACTATTTAGATGTGTTTCTCTTTTCAGTCACCTGGATGATATAAGACAATCTTTTTAAAAAGATTTATTTATTTACCCATACAAGAACTGGGGTATAGGCCAGAAGTGTGGGGTGGTGGGGTGGGTGTTAATAGGATTCACCAGAGACAGAGTAGGGAACAGAATAGGCAGACTGAGTGAAATATACGGTTGAGGGGAGCGTGGAGGTTAGGAGAGGTCTGCCATGCCACATGGGTCACCTCCCTGGCTGAGGACTGAACTTGTGCTGCAGTGGCTGATGATAGCTTGATAGTGCTGAGATCTAACTCCTGTGCCACCAGGGAGGCTCTTACAACACCCTCATTTTATATACAGGACAAGTTCCTTAAGACCTGGCACAATTCAAAATTCTCTCTGGCAAGACTCAAGATAAAGATAAATCTTATTCAAAATCTAGAGTCAAGAACCAAGGTTTCCCTGTTATGTGCTTTCATAGTCTCACCAAATGCAAACATGTAAGGCAGAGGATTGTAAACTACAGGCCTCTAACTCCTATACCCCCCACTGTCGGGCACTGACTGTTTTGGTTCTTCTCAGCACTCTTTTAGAGGCAGGGGCACAGGACCTGTGCCAATAAGGAGTCCTCTGATGACTTAGCTTCTGCCAGCATCAGATACCTGACTTTTGATGTCTGGACAGGCACCTCCACCAAATATCTTTGCATTTGTAGATGTTCCCAGAGGTGCGAAGAGGAAACTTTCACAGGCCCTATGTGCAAGACTTCAGGAAGCTACTACAGGAATGTGGGGTTCTTGCTTTCTTGCTCCGTCTTTGTTTCCTGTGACAATTTCTCCAAGTCTCTGTGAGGACTGTTAGTCACTAATGTGTTGTCTAAATAGTTTTCTTAAATGTCAGGTCAGTTCCCATGTGGCATGAAAATGAACCTAGTCATTTTTTTTTTTTTTAAAAGCAGTTCAAGGAATTTCTGTAGTAGCTCCAAGCCTTTAGTTTTCAGCCCCTGGCTTCCAGGCTCTACTGTTAGCGCTTCTGCTATGCATTTCTTTGCATAGGAAAACCATTATTCCACCTGGGCCTTAAAGGGCAGATTCCCCCTCAAATCAGAAAGAACCTGTGCAGAGAAGCAGTGGTGAGTGGTCAATGCCTTAGCAACATGTGCTCACATGACCTCCAGTGATTTACATTTCCAGTCAGAAGCACTTAAATATATTGAACAGGGAGAAAAGTGAATGGTGTGGCCCCACCAACACTCTTTGAGATTTCCATCTTGCATTTTGGTTTTCTGCTTAATGGTGCATCTTGACTGTAGAACAACCTACTCATCTATTATTATTCTCAAGTTTCAGAGGCTGTTCAGATTTGAAAACCTGAAATACATTCTTTTCCAAAGAAAAGTCAGGGGACAAAGGACTCACAACAGGTCTGCTAGAGGGCGAGAGAGGCCCCTGCTGGACACATGAGGGCCACAGAGACCCACTATGGAGGCTTTGATTGCACGTGTTTTCCAAATTTTCATCTCCCAATAATCGATTTCTATCTGCTGGAAAATAGCAACAAACCCCTGAAGACAGACCAAGTGTCCCTTCTCTCCTATGTTTCAGAGTAAGGATGGAGTTGCTCAGGAAAGCCCCAGTCAGCCCACACCCCGCCTTGTCTGTCTCCTTACCTGTCAGCTGCACGGTCTCTCATCCTGTCTCTCCTCCTTTGCTTTTCCCTTCTCTTTTTCACTTCATCATCCTCCTCATCCTTCTCTCCTGCAACAGAGAAGTAGACACTTCCACACTCTGAGTTGCTCGCAGAGAAGCTGAGTGTTGGGGCCTTGATGGTAGGGCCAAAGCTTGGCTACTGTATCCCATGCCCTGCTGCTGCTTCCATGCACAGCAAGTTCTGGGACACCCTGAGACACCAAGGGTTCGTCAAAGGCTCCCAGTAAGGACAGGCATTTGATGAGAACCCTGGGCAGTTCCCAAGGGAGTCACCTTTCATGTCCCCCCATGGTGCGGTAGGCTTGGATGGGCCAGGGACACACAGCCCACCCATCCCACACACATGCTGCCCACCTGCTCTTTACCTCTCCCTATCCTGCCTTTGCAATCCTGCCCTACCATTGGGTCTTTCCCCAATGTCATGTAGTTAGATTTAAAAAGGGAATTCTCCCCCAGAAAGAGGTAGCAGCTGGGAGGCCTAGGAAACAAAGCAAGCTGCTCTTCCACCCTCCGTCCCACCTCTGGGTGGACCATACCAATTGTCTGTCCCGTCAGCCTCCTCTGAACTAGGGTCTCAGCAGGTCTGACAGTCCTTGCTGGCCCGAACTCTATCATCCATTCACAAAAAACCATATTATTCTAGGGCTACATGGGAAGCAACCCTAGAAACAAAAATGGGTAGAGACCAACTGGTCCTCCGCCTGCCACCTGGGGCCAGTGCAAGAGCTCCTCTGAGCGCTGTACTGTCTGGCGTCCCAGTGAGGCCAGGTAAGGTCACCGCAGCTCAAGGCCAGGGCCAGACACTGAAAAAAGGTTGGATAAGCATCTGAACTGTAACCCCTACCCCTGATGCCAGTCACGAGACTGTCCCACGAAGATGGCGACCGGCGTGCGCTGCTCAGAAGCCTCTCAAAAGGGCGTGTGGGATTTTTGGCAAGAGGTCACTGCCTGAAACTATTACTGCTGTTTAATAGCAAAGTCATCCCGGGTAGGAAGCAGGACCTGCACGCAATAAACATGTCACCTTTGCTTTAGCATTCACCCCACTGCAAAGATGCTAAATGCTGTGTGGTCTCATGCTATAGAAACAACTGCTTCAATAAACAGGGTGGGAGATCTCAGAGGGTCAGTTAAATCTGAGAATATTTTAAGAGGAACTTCTACCACAGGAACTTAGAATTTTGGGGAGTAGAGCCACACAGGAGCTATTCTGTGATTCTTTGGGAGAACCAGCTATAGCCAAACCCATGGGAACAGGAATGGAAAGTGGCTTCTGGGTGAGTTCAAGGTCACCACTCAGGATGCTTCTTCATGTTCCTCTAAGGGTATAACCTGAGTTTGCTCTTGCTACTTACTTTGGACTCTTAAGTGTCTTGCAATAGAACTAAGGAGATCTGCTGAGCAAGGACAGCTTCTGGTCCTGAGGATCTGGACTTGGGTGCAGCCAACAGCTTCTCCTCCTGCCCCCAATGCCCAACCCAAGCAATTGTCCACACTCTGACCAATGCAATGACATATGCTGCTTTGGTGGCATCCCCACCAGAGGCTGGGAGGACAGCCCTTCGTTGGTCACTGGAGAATTATGGACATAGTGAAACCAGAGAAAGCAGTATGGGCCCTGCACTGGCCAAGGGGAGGCAGGAAACATAGACTGGGGGTAGGGGTACCCTTTCTGTCATGTTTTTGAGAACCCTATCCTACCACTTTGAGATGTCATAGACACCCAGAGGTGAGTGTCCCCCTCTCCACAGCCTGCCCAAAGTGAGGCTAACATCCATTTCCAGCAAGTCCTGCTGCAGATATTCAAGCAAAGTCTGTGGTGATACCATGGCCAAGGACTAGGCTGCTGGCATGGCCCCTCCATCCAGGCCCTAGGTTTGCCCAGAAGCCCAGTCTGGCTGGGTGCTGGGTAGTAAGTAAAGGGCAAACACTGGAAAAGCTCAAAAGGACACTGAGTGATGCCTACCTCTCTGTCTCCCAGAGTCGCAGAATTCATCCTCCTGAAAAAGGGCACACACAAAGTCAGACACTAAGTAGTTTCCAGAACACTCCATAAGCAGCCCAGTTCCCAGCTAACATCTAGTACTGCTGTGCCATGAGTAAATAGTCACAGCATGTTAAGAACTGGTTTGTTTTCCAAAATTATGTGATAACCACTAATTTGCTTTTTTATTAGTCACTAACCCCATTTTAATGTTTTCTAAAGAACTCCTGGCAGTGCAGGACTGCACACAGTCCCACACAGTTCTACACACAGGGATGCAAAACGCCTAGCTACTAGTGTTATGTGAACTGAGCTGCAGGATGCTAATTTTAGCTTCTTTACTGAAAACGGGCTTATCATGTTCTCAGCAGTCTGTTCCAATTTACCAAGTTGAAACAAATGCATGTAATTTAAAGGAAAAAAAAAAAAAACCTGCCCCATCCTTCCACTTCTCTAAACTGATAGACCATGAGGAGCATCTAGGCAAGCCTTCAATTCCCAGACTGTCTAGGTCTAACTGGGAGACTTGGGTCAGAATTTCAGAGGGCAGCAGAGGCTTACTAGCTTTAAATATCATTTCCTATTACTGGTTTTAAGACGTGGATGACACAGACTCAACCCAACAACAGCACAAGGCTGTAGCAAATGAGTCAACTGTGCATGTAGGAAACCCCCAGCCTACATGGCTACTGCATCTCTCTTGTGCATCAATCTAAGGACACAAGAGCGGCTCTAAGAGAGGATGGGAATTTTTTAAGAAAGGAAGGATTATTGCAGGGGAAATTATAGAAACCTGGTTATTAAAGCCGCTCAAGAGGTAGAGTTCAGTCTACCATAGCAGTTATTCCTGCCTCTTTTTAATGGAAACCCTAAAGTGAGGAAGATAACCCCATTAAAGACAAAGGGCCAATAAAGACTGACTTACACCCCTGAATTCTTCATCTCCTGAACGGAAGTCGCCAACTCCATCATCTACCAGACACAAAGAAACAGGAAAAGTCAGCCCTTCAGCAGTTGGCCCGTTCCACTTTCACCCCCCAGGCTCTCTGTCAAGACAGACCATGCTTGTCCTAACTACAGCAGGAACACAGGTGCCCCACACCACCCATGAGTTTTCATGAGTCCAATACACTGACGGAACCGAGAAACTGGGGCATGCAACAGACTCATCTCAGTCTCTGGCACTCAGAGCATTACCGTTTTCAGAAAAATCTCCTTCGCTGTCAGCCCGGGCCTGTTTGGTGTCTGGTTCATCATAAATCTGCATCTGCTTCCGTTTCCTGCCCATTCCGTCTGGGCCAAAGCGGTCAAACCCTCTCCTCCTAGGCTACAGACACAAGCATATCCTAATGTATGGCTTACCCAGACCATTAAAAAAAAAAAACCCAGAAAAATGTAAAATGGAGAGGTTGTAACAGAAAACAGAGGCAAAAGAAGTCTAGAATTTTTAAAAAGCAAAGGAAGGGCTCTCTCTGGTGGCACAACAGGTTAAAATGCAGTGCTATGAAGTTCTCTGGAGCCACTGCAGCTTGAGTTCGATTCCTGGCCAGGAACTGACCCACGCAGTGTATTTTTTTTTTTAAAGATTTATTTATTTATGCATACAGAACTGGGGTACCGACCAGAGGTGCAGGGGCAGTGAGAGAGGTGAGGGGCAGGGAAGGACAGGCAAATTGATGAAGTACATTCCTCAGCAGTGTATTTCCTTCGACCTGCCTGCTCTGCTCCCTAGTCTCTCTCTGGTGAATCCTCTCACGTCTGGCCTGTACCCCAGTTCTTGTATGCATAACTACATCTTTTTTTTTTTAAAAAAAAGGTAAAAAGCAATGAAAGACAACATAGTGGAAACTTAAAAAAACCCAAAACATTATGTTGAAAGATGCAAACCCACAGAAAAAATAGACTGGTGATGACCAGCGGCTGGATGACTTAAAGGTAAAGTTTCTTTCTGAATTGAAATATTCTGAAATCAAATGATGGGTGAAGGTTGCACAAGTTGGTACATATTTACTAGAAGTTGAATTGTATGCTTAAAAGTGGGTGTTCAATGCATGTAGTTTTATCTCAATAAAGCTGCCTTGAAAAAAAAAAGCAGAGGATGAAGATTATAACTTTGCAAGGGCTTACCCGATCCCTCATCCGGGCCTGTGACCGGCCACATCCATAGGGCACAGAGTTGTCAAAACCACCAGTACTCTGCATGCCCATCAGGCCAAAATCCGGGGCCATGGACTGGGAGAAGAGGGAAGGTGGAGGTCTGCTAGGGGAGGGGCCTCCCAGGCCCCGTCCACCTACGTAATTCATCTCAGTCCAGGGAGCAGACAGGGGCTCAGAGGAGGCCACTGGTGGCATGAAGGGGTCGTTGCGCATGAAGGTGCCAGGGTTGCTCCGATCCTGGAAGCGGCCCTGGCCCTGGCCCCGGCCTCGAATAAAGCCATCAAGGGAACCCCGCTCTCGGGCTGCATCCCGGCAATCGCTGTACTGACCACCAAAGCCACCATTTCGGTCAGGCCCCAGATCGAAGTCATAATCATAGTTGTAGCTGGGGCGGTAAGGATTGTGTTCAGGCAGGCAAGGCCTGGAGTCATAGGAGTCGTAGGACTGGAATCGGAAAGAGCTGCAAAAAAGCACAAACCATCACTGTACTCCCTGGGTAAACTGCAGTGCTTTTTGTAAATTGACTTCCTTGCACTCAGAACATAAACCACACATCCCTCCCGAATACTCAAGAGGGCAACGCTCCCCTTGAAAGATTGACAAATGAAGGGGACAGGACCGTTGGCTAGGAGAATGCGGAAACAATCTGTTATGCACCTGAGGTATAAGTAAGAATCTGGGGAATTTAACAGTCACGCCTCCAGTTCCACCATTCCGGAAGCCAACTAAGTCTCACTATATCATACTTTTGTCTTAACTACCACCCAGCAAATCTACTCCATTTTCAAAAAGGAGTCAAGGGAGAGCCCACCCTCAAAGAGCAGGTGCCCATATTCTGCACAAATCTAGGGGTACAGCATCACTGGGGGAAGGGAGGGGTCCATAATCACCTCTCCCGGTCCTGCATGCCCTCCCCACCGCTGCTGCTCCCGCCCCTGCCTCCTTCCTTGGACATCATGTCCAAACGCTGGTTGATCTTGGCAATGAGGGAGTCGGAATTGTCGGTGCAGGACTCTGGGCCATAAGAAGCCATGTGCAAGGAAGGGCCCCCAGCTGCCAAGCCATCACTGGCCTTGGTGACCTCCCAGGAGGCTGGGCCATAACTATAGGTCGCTCCTGTGGTGACGCTGGTGTTCTGGGCATTGTAATAATTATAGTTTTCATAACCTGCCAGAAGAGAGAAAGAGCAAAATCAGACTTCAGCAACCACAAGGTTGGTCCATGGTGGACTTGCCTAGGGAGGAGCACCCACTGTACAGAGAAGAGGGATCAAGTGCTGCAGGCATCATGCCACATTGTGTAAGGGAGGCAGTGGGGAGTTGTGTAGGACACTAGCTCAAATTGAATGGAGAGGTTTCCACACCAGACCGCCATTCTGCCTGACTGATTTGGTGCTTGCAGTTTCTGGCACAACTCCTAAGATTCCTAGAATTTCCTAAGTGATGGGATTGGTAAAAAAAAATTTTTTTTTTAATTAAAAATAATAATAACTTTTGAAACATCTAAGGATGTACTTAGTCTCACCTGCGAAGCCTCCAGGGAGGGGAGAGGGCCAAAGGTTCATATAATCACCAATGGCCTACTAGTTAATTAACCACGCCTATGTAATAGCCTCCAAAAATCAAAAGGACAGACTTATGAGGGTTTTGTGGATTGGTGACCATATCAAGGTTCAGGGAGAGAGTAGGGTGCCGGAGAGGGCATAGAAATGCGGAACTCTTTCCCAATACCTTGCCCTATGCACCTCTTCCATGTGGTCATTCTTGTGTTAGATCTTTTAAAAACACTCCAGTGTTCTTCTAGTTAAAGTATTTCTGAGTTGTTCTATCAAAACAATCAAACGCAAGGAGGGGTTAATGGGAACCTTTGATCTACAGAGTTGTCAGAAACAGGTAACAAGTAACCTGAGACTGCATCTGTCATCTGCAGAGGGTTGACAAAGCAGGGCAGTCTTTTAAGACTGGGCCCTCAAATTGTGAGATAGGATGCAATCTCCAGTACATAGTATCAGATTTCAAATGAACTGTAGGATACCATATGGTGTTTGAAAACTGCCTGTTTTTGTGTGGAGAATCTTTCCCAATTACAACTGAAGTTGAATCTCTGAACCCAAAAGATGAACTCTAACATCAATTCCCTGTGAAGAAACTAGAGGTGGATGATCACAGAAGAGCATTTGGGGCTGTTGACAAACCTACTAAATTGCTGCTTTCAGAACTACAACTACAACCCTTCGCCTCAAGCTAGTTTCCCATAAGGGTGGCCCCCAACTTCCCAAGCACCCAGGTTAACTGGCTGAGCTTCCACGAGTGCTGTGAGCAAGGCTAGGTATGGGAGATTGGAGGAGAGTTGTCCCTGCATCCCAGGCCCTCAGGTAACTGATCAGAGGTCTATTCATCTAACCAGGTACCCCCTGGAAGGACCTACCTTGCCAGCTGGCCACACCAGTTCCATATGTACCTTAGAGGAAACAAAATACACAAGACCTTTGCTTGCAGATTGAAGATACCCAAGAGTACCTTTCAACCCAAGAGTACCTGCCGGAATGTTGAAGGACAGCCCTCACTTCACTACTACAGGGTCTGAGCTGCTGGTAGCTGTGGCAGTTCTTAGGGAGGCACCTTGTTTGTCCAGCAGCTGTAAAACTCAGTTCCTACAGAGCACTGACCTGAGTAATTGGGGATTCGCTCACAGGCAAGTCCCATTCCCCGACTAGGGCAACAAAATGGAAACCTGTTCAGTGTGGACTACCCACAAGGTCAGTCAGTCTTCTAGACTGACCTTGCTGAGTCCTTCTAGAATATTAGTTCTCGCCAGAATTTAGGATTATATCACCATCACCAATGGAGAATTGGTGAATGGAGAATGCACTGGTGGAGAAATCATGTCCCAGCTCAACAGAGCATGATATGGAAGGCTTTCTCTTGGGAAACTCAGTGATGGCAGACTATCTCCAACAATATTAGGCAAGCTCAGAAATCAAAATGTCCTGGTCCAATCCCCTGAACAGATGCTTGCTAAAAAAACACAACAACTTTGCCATCTAAAAGCACATTCTGGCCCTTCAAACAAACTAGGCATCATGCTCTCCATACAATGACTCCACAACAGGGTGAATAGGCCTCAAGGCCAAATGAAACCCATCATTTGGGTTTGTATATGACCCACCCAGAACAAAAATGGTTTTACATTTTTAAATGATGGGGGGGGGAATTAGAGTATCTCATGACAGGAATTTTGACATGAAACATCATTCATGTTAAAACTCACAGAATTACAGAAGTATCAATATATTGTGGGTTATAGAAAACAACATGTGAGCACCAGTTAACTGTAACAATTTATCTCATTCTTAATTGAGGCAAACTGGTGGGGTGAAAGTATGTTGGAAACTCGGATCTGCTAGACCCCATAAACCTAAAAACAGAAAAATGTATAGTGTATTAATTGTAACAAATCTTTAATTATCCTTTTAGAATAAAAGTCTGAATAAAATAACAGGAATTGCCGAAGACAACTTCACACACTCATAAAGATCACAACACACAAACTTCAGGATTTATAGATACCACTGACACATAATCGTAAATCGTGACCCTTTGACTATAAACTGTCTCTAGTGCATTTTGCACTAGAGATTCTGGCCTGCAAAGTCAAACATAATTTACTATATAGCTCATTACAGAAATGACTTGCCAGGCCTGTGGCAACCCCTAAGCCTGAACCACTCACCCACCAACCTTCCCCCAAAATAGGCCCCACTTACCCTGGCTGTTGGTGGGTCCAGCACTCCATGCCCCATAGCCTGAAAACAGAAGACTTGTGAATTAGGGTCCTATCTATCTGTTATACCGGGTATAGGTACTTCTGAGGAACCCTAGGAGAAGCACAACCATTACACTGTCCCCCTAAGAGTCATTAAATTGCTTGCTAATTCACCAATACTCCATTTGCTTGTGTCAAAAAAAGGAAGGAAAAAAAAAAGAGGGGAGGGGAAAGGGCTTCAAAATCAGCTCTAGCTCGCTGAAGGACTTTAGCCTAACAGTCCATATATGATAGCACAGGACAAGCCAGCCCAGCATTAGGAAATGGGTGGGTGCCATGACCCACTCCCCAGTTTGGCCCACCTACCTTGTAGCATTAAGTACTCCATAACGGGGAACAACTCATAACTGGAAGACAACTGTGTCTCTAGGTTTCACCTCCATAAATCTTTGAATTCTCCAAAGATTCTCCTCTGATCCTTCAAGCCCCAAGGTCTTTCTACTTGGCAGTAAGGCACGAGACTGACTCCTGTCTGGTGGCAGGCACCCTCTACCCTTCAGAAGCCCCATGGCCCCTCTTCATCTCTGTGTCCCTGAAGTCTGGAAGACCTTGTCGTTAAGTGTTTATTGATGCCTGTCAAAAACCTTCACCTTGTTGAAAAACATACTGATGTTTCCCTTTCCCTTACCAGAATCTGTTCACTGGTTCAATGCCTACTGCGAGCTGACATGAAAGCCACTTGAGAAATGTTATCTGCCCCAAATGCCATTCAAAGATGAGGGGACTAGGTTTCAGAGGTTAGGGACTTGACCCCAAATCCCAAAATCACACACGACACTGCTCAAGTTTGCTCCATTTGCCTCTACAGACTACACCATCCCATACCACACAGCCCTCCACATGTGTGCTGCAGAAAAACAGGAACAACTCTAACATAAGTGACCAACTATAGGACACAGATCTGGTTAGCATATTCTACTTATTCCCATAGTCTCCCAATGCCCTTTGAGCTAGATTCTGCTGTTACCAGGTTGTATAAAGAAATGGAGGCTCAGAGAGATTAAGTTACTTGCTCAGGTGCTGGAGCTGGAGCATGAGACCTGAACCCTGATCTAGGTACCTCCTATGACCAAAAAACAACTGTCAAGATTTAATGGGTCCTGAGAAATAAATCTAGGATGGAAATGCTACAGAAAACCTCGGGGAAGCTGTGGCATCTAAATGAAGCCCGGACTCAGCCTTAGAAAATAGGGTGGGTGGGGGGGAGGGGAGAAGGGATGTGGGAGGATGGTTGGTGGGGGAGAGGTAATAAAAACAGTATTATTAGCAGAGATCCAGTGAGAAAGCAGGCAAAGAATGGTGACATCCAGTCAAACTGCAGAAAAGACCTGGAGAGCCAGTCACCTCAGCACACCACACACAGGCTTCCCGTTTCTATATTTCCACTGCCTGGATCCTGCTAACCAGGCCTCTTGTCAAGATCCGCACCTTTCCGAGATGCTATAGCCAAGATTAAATGCTTCTTAAACCTCAGACACCTGCGCAGGGATCTGAGCCCTATCAAGGGCCACTGGGCTTATTGCTACCGTTTCCCGTATGTAAATTCGACAACCAGTTGGAGCAAAGACCTCCCTAAAAGCTGATTCTAGAAAACGGAGCCGGTAGCCAAGAAACCCAAGTAGAGAAAGGGTGCGCTTCCTCTTAACAAACCCCCATGGCGCCTCTAGGTCCACGCGTGACAGCACGGTGACCCTATTTGTCACCATCCCCGGGCACATCGGTTGTCCTGTTTGCACAAGGAACAAGAATCTGTCCCCAAAACCTCGTCCTAGGCCAGCACAGGTCGGAGACGCACGCAATTCGGTGAGGCCGACCGTGCAGAGGCCAAGCGGCGTGCGGCTGGCGACAGGTTCCGGGCAGGGCCACGTGGCCGCGCGGAGACCCAGACCGCCGCAGGAGACGCCGCAGACCACACTCGGCCTTGCGCCCCGCGAGCTCGCGCATAGCCCCGCCCCCCGCGCCGCCATCTTGTGGCGTCTTCGTAGAAGAAGGCGGGACAGCGGGCCGTAGGGTCGAAAGTCCGGGCCCGCTGGGCTCAGGGGCTGAGACGGCCCGCACAAGCCTAAGCGCCCCCCGAAGCCCGCCGCCAAATCGACCCGCCTCCTTAGCCCCGCCTGCCAATCCATACACAGAGCCCCAGGAGCGACGGCGCCAGGATCCAATGAACGGCGCATGGGATCCGGTCGCCTCCCCGCCAGGCCAGGCTGTGGTGACCTGCTCGGGACTAAGCAAGGCCGGCGGTCCTCTGCGCGCCTACGGCCGCGCTGCCTGCGCGCTCCATCTCGCGTTGAACTTACACTCACCTCCGTAGCCTTGCTCCATGTCTTCGACTCGGCCCGCCAGCAGCCCCTCTTTCTAGGTTGCCACAGACGCATGCGCTCAACGCACCTCCCGCCGCCCGCTACTGGATAACCAGGCGCATACGTCACCCCTCCCTCAGCCCACCATTGGCTAGCTTTCTCCGCGGATCCACCCGTCTCCCCAGAGGGCCTTCCGGTTGCTCGGGCTCGGCGTCCACAGCTTCTTGGGAGTTTCACAGGAACTCAAAGTGCGCAGGCGTAACCCAACCCCCCCACCCCCGCTACAGTGCGCAGGCGTACCCCGCCCCTCCCCAAGATTCAGTACGCAGGCGCGATCTCAAAACAATCACAGGAGGAAGGGTGGGAATCGCTTTATTGGGGTTGGCTTCCAGTGTAGGCCCTGCGGGCCTGGCCCGCCCCGAACCCCGGTTATGGGTGGCCTCCACCACCCTCCTCCTCATCGTCATCAGCGTCGACATCGAGACCCGGGATTCCGCGGATCTGGCGTTGGAGCGCGCCACCCAGCAGGGGAACGATCTCTTCCTCTTCTGGAGGGGGTGGTGGTGGTGGCGGCGTAGCGGCCTCAGGGACCGGCTCTGGGGGTACTGGAGGCTGCACCGGCGCACCCTCTGCACTCTCTGCGCTCGCTGTCGCTTCGACCAGCGCCCTCTCCTCGAGAGTGCCCCCCTCGGCCTCCTCCTGTTCCTTCTCCTCCTCTGGGCTGTCTGTGAAGGGGTTCTCACCCTGAGGGAGAAGGGGCATAAATGCTTAAGGGAGGACCCACAATACCCGGAACAGAGTAGATATGCTAGAGGTCCCCCTCACCTTCAGGTACCGCTCCAGCTTCTTGCTGATGAGCTTATTGTTGAGAATGCTGCGAGCCACCATTAACGAGGACTTCTTAGACTGCTCCATCATCAGCTGTGGATAAGGCAGGCACAGCTGAAGTGGCATGCTCTAAGGCGGTGAGAAAGCACCCGCCCACAGCCCCACATCCATCCAGGTCCCATCACGTCAGCCCAGCCCGCCCGCACTTGTATACCTCCACCCAGGGCTCGGGGCACAAAGATTACACCGGATTTCGTATATCTTACGTGTACCTCAGGTACAAGAGTAGGGCTGTGGCATGATCTGATCACTGCTCATATATGTTCCATCCTTCTCACCATACTTACTGTATGTCATCAATTAAAGACATAGGTCTTTACAGCCAAACTGCAGAAAGCTGATTGCTTACAAAAAACTATAATGAAACTAAGACACCTATTAAAAGCCAAATGTGAAACCCATAAATAAGGACCCAACTGCTCATATGCAAACTTTTTAGGATCAACAGGAAGAAAACAGGAGTAAAAATGTCACGGTATACTTAAGGGATATATGTCCTTTTATGAAGGTAGACATGTCTGCCCAGCTGGTGAGGTCAACAATTTATTTTCCAGAAAGCGGTCTACAGAATGTATCAAAAGTAAAAATGAGACTCATTAATTCCTGGAATCTATCCTAATTATTAGGAACAAGCATGCACCACTGGTTTGTAGAACTGAAACAATGTTCTGTGAAATGGTTAGTTATATAAATCATAGTCAAAAGAATACGATGCAGACCTTAAAACGGAGGACCACTCTCTACCCTGGTATAGTAAAAAAGACCTGTGATGGACTGGATAGAGCATGCCAGGGCCTTTTAATCAGGGACGATTTATACCAAAATAAGAGTTTCTCAGTGGTGAGAGCACAAGCAACTCTCAGTTTTTTGCTGGAAAGGATTGGACAAGCCCACCCTTAGGGATCTTGCGGAGCACCAGCCAACTTGCTAACGTTCTATTTCAGAAAACCATCTCACTTGCTGTTTCTACTCCCTTATCCCATTTTCACCTCTTTACATTTTCTGTACTACCTGGAGAAGTACAGAATTACAAAATTAGTATACATCATGCATGCTCAAAATCAAACAAATATGCTATACTGGTCACTCACTTGCAAGACAATCCCCTGCCGCTCCCTTCAGGCACACAAATGGACATAACATACTTCTTCCAACGTTTACACTGTTTCAAATTTTGCTACAATACCACCACCAAAAAAACTAAAATATTTCTATGCTCCTGTTAATTCTGTCCTATCAGTTCTCCAAAGTAATGGTGCCTGAAAACTGTACAACTTTCTAACTGGTGCTTCCCCCACCTGTATTAAAACAAACATAGATGTCATGCTTTGTGTATTTCAGCTATCCCCCCTCCACCTCTGGTGTTCCTGGTTTGCTCAGGAAGGGTTCCTTTAACCTCAAGGTAAACAAATAAATATCTAAGTATTATTCTTTATTTTTCACATGTAAAATTTCTGTGATTTAATGTGATATAAGGTAGAGATCCACCTTTCCTTTTTAGAAATTAGTAGGATAAACTATTGTTTCCTTGTTAAATTGACACAGTTCTACGTTTCCTTAACCACAAACTTGAAGTCAAAAAGTAGTTTTTAAGGTACTCTTTTTTTAAAGATTTATTTATTTATTTGTATACAGAACTGGGGTATAGCCAGAGGTGCAGGGGTGGTGAGAGGCTTCACCAGAGACAGAATGGGAAGCAGAACAGGCAGATCAACAAAGTATACTGCTGAGGTGAGCAGCAGGTGAGACAGGAGAGTGCTGCCAAGCCATGTGGATCATGTCTGGGGCCTGGGATCAAACTCGCACTGAAGTGGCTGCAGCCACCTTGCAGTGCTGCATCTAAACCTATTGTGCCATCAGGGTACTTTTTTTGGGGAAAAGTTTACCCCTAAAACTCACTTGGTGAACAGAATGCGCAGACATTTTTTATCTTCAATCCCATTTATATAAGTTACTTGTTACTGATGGGTCAACTACAAAGCACGTTTCCCGAGCTTATCTGGGAGATTCATCATTGAACTATAAAGCTGTTCTCAAATTCAGAATTTCAGAATCATTAGATTACCTGTGATATACTAAGTCCCCAAACACATTATGATCTTTTACTGTATTATCTCACTATATTATTCTGGTCCCACTGTTTGACTGCTGTGCCAACAATTCTGTTTTTCAGTAATTCATGCTCTGTATTATTTTATCCTCACCCCTGAAAGAATTTCAGAAGTTTAAGTAGGAATAGTATAATGAATTACTACCCATGGTTCAGCTAGCTTCAACAACTTTCAGTTCATAGATAATTTGTTTCACAAAATTGTATCCAATGCCTACTTCAACTCCATCTCATATATTTCAAAGTCAATGCTGGAGTATTTCGCCCACCATTTCTTAGAAACCATTATTTCTCTGAGCGCAGACAGTTTGCAGCAACATGGCCAAATGCGCTAAGCTATCACATACAGGACACATTTACAGGACAAATGGTGAAGAAACTCAAATCAGCCAGCATGCCAAATATATTTGTTTCTTCTGTGGGAAAATAAGAGAGAAGCTGTGGAGATCCCGCACTCTGGTTCCTGCATAAAAGCTGGTGGAGGCCTGGACCTACACCACTACTTTTGCTGTCATAGCATAAGAGTGAAGGAATTTTAAGTCCTTCAAGCTCTACCATTTAAAGTCTGCTATCCTATATAACATATGGGTTGATTTAGGCAACAAAAAACTTAACCATCATCCAATTAAAACTAGTAAATCCTGCCTCTCCCTGGTGGCGCAGTGGGTTAAAGCACTGCACTAAGAAGCTTAAGCCAATTCCGAATGAGTTCTATCCCTGCTTGCCCCAGAGGAGCTCCACATGGCTGGCAGACCTCTCCTGACCCGCCCGCTGCTCCCCTCAGCAATGTACTTTGTCGATCTGCCTGTTCTGCTCCCCACTCTGTTCCTGGTGAATCCTCTCACCCTCCGCATCTCTGGCCTGTACCCCAGTTCTGTATGAATAAATCAATTTTTAAAAAAAGGAAAAAAGCTTAGTAAATCCTTAAGTCTCGTAACTCCTTAGAAAACAGTTTGGTCTCAGTAATATCTACATTATTCCAGGTGGTTGCTATCTTTTTACTTTTTTCTTGTTCAATTTAAAAACATTTAGGAGGGCCTCCCAGGTGGCCTGAGTTCAATCCCTGGCCAGTGAGTTAACCCACATATGGCACAGCACCTCTCCTGCCTGGTCTGTTGCTCCCCTCTGCAGTGTGGAGGATCCACCTGTTCAGCTCCCTTTTCTGTCCCTGATGAATCCGCTCATCCCCACACTTACGGCCTATGCCCCAGTTCTTCTAGAAGTAACTTTTAAAAGAAAATGAAAAATTAGAAAATTAGCAGCTGTTGTCATAAACTCACAATAAACAGCATCTTACAGTTCTTTTTAATTTATGCACACACCCTGGGATGTAGACCAGAGGTGCAGTGCTACTGATAGCTTTAAAGTGCTGAGACAATCCCTTGGGCCAGCAGAGAGGACCCCTTCTGTTATTCTTTATAAAACACTAGAATATTCTTCTGAATGATTTACTTGCTGAATAGTTAGAAAATATCAGTTTAAGGGAAAAGGTCCAAATGAATAAATGTCTTTTACTGTAGTTTACAGATAGGTCTAAGGAATCATCCAGTATTTTGCTCTTTCGGTAACTGGACAATTTAAATGTTACTGCTGAACTATTCCATTTTCAGAAATGCAGCTGCAATCCAAAAATTCCCTGATACCCTTTTTTAACCATTTTGGTTCACTGAATTTCATGCAAATTCAATGTTGTTTTCTTTAAGAATTAACTATCTTTCTGGGATTGACACAATGAGTAAGCAACTTCTGGCCTCATCTGAACCCTGCAATTTTTTTTCCCCAAGCAATTTTTATTTCAACGAGGGATCTAGTCTCTTGAATAACATTGATGGAGAACTAAGCACTCACAGATGTCACTTTGTAATGTCAAGTGAACAACACCCTTGACTGTGTTCTGTACATGACAGTTCAAACTGTGGATAGTTCCTTTCTAGTTCTCTATTGTCAACCTGCAGCCTCTTCTTTTTCTTTCTAAGAGGACTGAACTAGACACTGATATGACTCAAGTCCTTCTGCAGGGTGCCTCTCGTGCCCTTTATAATAAAACTTGTCCCTTCAGGAGAGATGTCAACATTTTCTGACAGTCGGCAGTCTGATTGCTGAGAATGGTCTACATTCTCACAGTAGATGCAGGCATATGAAATGTATTAAGTCCTCTAACTCACTACTGCCCTTTAGGTATTTTTTTTCTGGCTATCGTCAGACTTAATCTACAATATAAAACATAATTTCATCCAACCCCCTCCTGCCCTGATTTGGACTGGAACTGCACTAACCATGGGAAGAATGCTGTTTTGTTACTTAATCTCCCATCTAAAAACAGTCTATTAATTCCTACATTTGTTGAGGTCCTGTTTCATAAAATCTAATTTCTAGATATTTTATACATTTTATGGTTATTGTGAATATATCTTTTTCTCTGTATGTTTCAAACTGGTTATTACTAAACTGGAGAAAAATCACTTTTTGTATGTTATCTTAAATCCTGTATCTCCTTACCAAAGTCCATTAACTGGAAGAATCCTGCTGGAATACTTGGTTTTCCTGAGAAAAATCATCTCAACATTTGCATATAGCTTTTGGTTCAATACCTTACCCTGATAATTTTGCTAATTTCTTACTAATCCTCGTATTCCAGAAACACACTTGATTTAGTGAATTACACATTACTCACTACCAGGTAATTAATAACTAATCTACAGTTCTATTTTGGTATTATCCTTACCAGACTTTGGAATTAAGATTATAAAAGTGTTTTCCATGAACATGATTTAGTAAACAGATAGACTCCTGGCATGGCAGTCTCAGCAAATGCAGACTTAATCCTCAGTGAAACGGATGAAAATTAATACAAAAAATATAAATCTAAACTCTCTGGAATTAGCCCTAAGGACATACATAGCAAGTGAAGAAACATTTAGCAAGGAAAAGCCACTAAAATCCAGAAAGAAGAGCCCAAGTTGCGGTTTCTGTCTTCAGTAGTAAAAAGGAATAAAAGAAAAACAGATGCAAAACCAGTAATATCAATAACATTGAACATGAATGATTAAACAACCAGATCAAATGGCAGAGAATGGCTGAAATAATAAATAGTAAAACACAATGTGACCAAGAAGGGACACCTTAAAAGCTGCAGTGTGGAAGAAAAGAGGTATAGAGGAATGGAATAGAACTGACAGCCCTGAATAACCTAGCTATGGTCAACTGACTGCTGACAGGGTGCCAAGACAATTCAATTGGGAAACAATGTACTCTTCAAGTTGCGCTGATACAACTTTAGACTCAGGTGGAATAGTTGGACCCAATGTTGAAAAAAGTTGGGCCCTATCTCTCACAACACATACAAAAGTTAACTCAGGGGCCTCCCTGGTGGAATAGGGGTTAAAGTCTCAGTGCTATCAAGCTATCACCAGCCATTCCAGTAGGAGTTTGATTCCTGGCTAGGGAGCTTGTTCATATGGCACAGCAGACCTCTTTAGTCTCACCTGCTGCTCCCCTCAGCAGTGTTTTTCAGTACACCTGCCTGTTCTGATCCCCACTCTTGTCAATGGTGAATCCTCTATCTCCTGCACCTCTGGCCTACACCCCAGTTCTTGTATGCATCACTAAATAAAAATAAATTTAAAAAAATTTTTTTTCCCCAGAAATGGGGCCCTCCCTGATGGTGCAGCTGGTTAAAGCACAGGCACTGCAGTGTGAGTTTGATCCCCCGCCAGGGAGGTGACCAACACGGCGTGGCAGACCTCTCCTCATCTGCCCACTGCTCTGCTCCCTGCTCTGTCTCTGGTGAATCCTCTCACCTCCTGCACCTCTGGTCGTGTACCTCAATTCTTGTATGCATAACTAAAGAAATCTCTAAAAAATATTGTAGCCGGGCCCTCCCTGGTGGTGCAGCGGGTTAAAGCACTGCACTAAGAAGCTTAAGCCACTTCAGCATGAGTTCGATCTCCGCCTGCCCTGGAGGTGACCACATGGCGCGGCAGACCTCTCCTGACCTGCCCGCTGCTCCCCTCAGCAGTATACTTTGTCGATCTGCCTGTTCTGCTACCCACTCTGTCTCTGGTGAATCCTCTGAGCCTCCACATCTCTGGCCTGTACCCCAGTTCTGTATGAATAAATCTTAAAAAAAAAAAAAAAATTGTAGCCACTTTGGAATCTGTGCCAGTTCCTCAAGAAGAATATGTATTTTACCTGGACAGTCCACTCCTAGATACATACCTAAGAGAAATGAAAACACATGTCTACAATAAAATGTGCACAGGAACTTTTTAGGATTAATTTTCAGTTTATATTTTGCCAGTTACCAGTCATTTCCTCCAGATTTTCCAACTTTTAGTGCTAAGCACTGTTTTCTCCCTACCTTTTATCAGCTTCCAGTCCAAGAAACCTGGCAAGATTCTTATAGCTTCTCTGTTGTCAAAATCAATGAATGATAGAGCCCTAACCTTTCCAGATTCCTCAGAAGCATTTGCCAGGCTTGAACCTAACTACCCAAGACAGACTCTTAACCCCATTCACTGTTGAGAATGACTGCACCCTGAGAAAGACCAGAGATGAATATAAAGATGATGAAAGTGCTAAGGTTATTTCCTACACTTCAGCTAGCTCATTTGCTCATAAATTCCATGAGTTGGCCTCCAAAGTAATAGCAGCCAAGCTTCTCTCTAGCCCATTCCTGGTATTGGACCACTCATTTCTCCCTATTGCAAAGCCTATACCTAACTGCTAACTGCCCTCCTCCTAGCACCCTGCCCATTAGTTATCCAAGCCAAAAAGTTGAGACTTCCCAGATTCCTGGGCATGCACTCATGCCAACCTCTAATTCATTTTCCCAAACTGCTCTTTTATCTAGTCCTTTTTCCATCCCCAAGGTAATGGGTACTCTTCTGTCTTGAGACTGCAGCAGCCCCTCAGCAGTCCCCACCTCCTCCTCAGAACCAGGTACCTGGAGCCTATAATTCAACATCGATTCTACCCATGGCAGTTCTCCACTAAAATATCTTGCTGCCTACAGGACAAGCCTAGACTCCTCAACCTAGTCTCATGCGCTGATGAACCTCTTGAGGTCCAACACTGTACTGGCAACACTTGCCTAGATATTTCTCCATGTTTGGTTTCTGAACTTCTCTGGTCATTGGTCCTTAGGGACATGAAGGTCTTCACTTCCTGTAGGCTATTAAATCTCTTTAAGGTCCAGGTGTGACATCACCTTCTCCCAGGTAGAACCCCATTTCCCACCTCTTGCCTGTAACTATGTTGACTGCACTCTGTTATTCCCATACCCCCCTGCAGTCAGTTCTTCAGGGACAACAAGGTAAAACCCCAGTCAATCCAAAACACAGAAAAAGGGAAACTCACCCTGCGGTTCCGGTTATGATCCATGGTTTTGAGGTGCTTCTGGATGATCCCAAACTGCATGGGAATGAAGAGATCACAGGCTGCACAATGGGCAGCCTCCACCTTTTTCACAAAATGCTCCATGGCAATTTCTGTAGGGAAAAATACAGGTAGTTGTCACTGGTTCTCCAGTGCTTAAGACATACCAGACCAGTTTCTCACCTTACCCTGTCACTTCCATGTAAGACTGAGGCTGTTCTCACTGAGACTCTCTTGGGGGGGGAGGGGATGACAGAGAGGGGTGTTATAATCCCATTTTGAGAGGCAGAGGCCTCTGCCTGGTGTGATAGAGCCTCCTCACCTTGGGTCAGATCCTGGTCTCTGTAGATCTGCTGGATCAGACCATCAAGGTCCTCCACGGTTTTTCGAAGCTCCTCTGTCTTCTTGGTTTTGTTGGTAACATACTCCTGCCAAAGATACCAAAGTTTGTGTGGGTTCTCCATGTCCTGAGGAGCTAAGTGAGGTGTAGCTACGCCACTCCAAGGCTCACCTGCAGAAAGTCAGCTGTCTGCTTGGGAAGCTTGGTGCCTACATACTTAAAGTGCTCCTTGTGGAACTTACTGTCCAGGTGGCTGGTCATCTCATCCTCATAGAAGGTCCGGTATTTGCAGAGAGAACACACAAACTGTATCCTGTCATAGGAGGGAAATGGGGAACTGAGGTCATGAGGGTCTGGGGGGAAAAGTGCTGCCGCCTCACCCAACCCAGTTGTGAGCCCTGAACAGGCCCTGCTCACGGGTCTCTGAAGTGTGGTCCCAGCAGGGGGACAGGCTGGGATCAGTGGGGTTGGGAGTAGAAAGGGCAGAAGTCTGTAGGCTGCAATTACTGCAACGTGGGCAGGGAAGCTCTTCCTTCCCATGGCAGGAGGCTGAAGCCTGAGGCAGCATCTGCTGCAACAGGCAAGGAGTCGCTGGAAGGTTGCCGGAGGGCATCTCTACCAAGGCTGGGCAGGAGCATGTGCACTTGGCCCAGCTGGGGACCAGAAGGAAGGCTGCCCTGGCTTGAGCCAGGTAGCCCTGAGGTGCAGAGTGGAGTACGCAGTCCTGAGGCAGGGCCCGAAAAGGTGCTGCATCTTCCTTCTGGGGTCTGGGAAACTGAAAGGCCCAGCCCATCCTCTGCTCAGAATGCTTGGGGGTGGTGTCGGGAGGGATGGGAGGCAAGCAGGCCTGGGCACCTGCTGCCTCATCTTCCTCTTCTGAGAAGAGACCAGTCTGAGCTGGAAAGAGGGCGCCCGCCTGGCCTGCCAGAGGGCAGCCTGGAGTCACCTGGGCGAGGTGCTCTGTCTGGGCCTGGTGTCCACAGCAGAAGCCCGGGGTCTGGGGCCTGGGCTGGAGCAGGCCGCCGTGGCAAGGGGCGGAGGAGGCCAGCCGCCACCGAGGCCTCGGGGCGGGTCCCTACCTCTGCCGGACGTCCTTATCTGGGCCACGGGGTCAGCTTTGTCTGGAGAGCCCAGGGGCCAGGCGCCGGCGAGGCTGAGGAAGGTCCAGCAAGAGCAAGAGTCTGAGGCGGAGGAGGAGGAGGCAAGCGCCAGTGCGGGAGCCCTGAGGGCAGACAGACCCGACCAAGGGGCGTGAAGGGCTCAGCCGCAGACAGGCCCATCCTGACAGGGCAGGCGGGCAGGGCAGAGGGCAGGCCCACGGCTGCCACAGCCCACAGGTGCTGCCATCTCTCCTGGCACGGCGGCGGCGGCCTCTTGGCAGCTAGTTGGGGTGGCACAGGTGCCTTGGACCTCAAGTCTCTGATGAGCTGGCCCCCTCCCGCAGGGGCATCAGGCCCCCAGTGCACCTCAGGCTTGTGTGCCGAATGACCTAGCGCCGGAGCTTCTGGGCAACGGTGCTGAGAAGTGTCGGATCTCAGGTCAAAGACGCTAGCGGTCACCAGGCAGCCGCAGAGGGGCCGGGACGAGTCAGCCCTTGGGAGCTGGGCCTGGCGGGAAGCAGGGTCCATGCACGGCCGAGCAGGTGGCGGCTCCCAAGGGAGGCCAGAGGGCGGCGAGGCAGCAGAGCTATGGCCCTGCTCTCCTGGCAGTGGCCCCACAGCGAGGCAGAGGCAAAGGGGTGGAGGGAAGCTGGTTACCTTTCTACCATGCGGTCACGCTGCCGCTTTTTCTGCTTGTCCTGGCTCTTCTTGCCTGCCTGCAACTTGCGCTTGGCCTGGCAGTTCTCATCCTGGCTGCCCAATGCTCCTGAGGGAATAAATGGGCACAGTCCTGAGCTTGATTCTTCCAGGACAAGGTGGTCCTGTTGCCTCTGGCTGGATCATTTTCCATCTACTCCAGAGGATCCATTCTGAGAGCAGCAGTTCAAGCAAGGCCTCTGGTCAGGAGCAGAGCTAGGTACCCTGGACTGGCAAGGATCAATTTGGCCCTAATGGCCTAGACCCTGAAGAGGAGAGGACACGTGCTGACCCCCACTGGACACCCATACCCAGGACACCCATACTCTGTAGTGGGCCATTGGAAGCTGGAAGGGAAAGAAGCCACTTTGGTGGGGACACTGGCACAAGTTCAGAGGGGCCAAGTGGCAGGATGCAGGGAGACTAAGGCTGGGGCCTTCATGCAGCCCCCGGGGGGTAAAAGCTCCAAAGTTCACATGGCCTTGACCACCCCAAGTCAGAAGAATTGGGACTTCATGAAGGCTGGGGTGTGCCTGATTTGCCCAACTTTTGTTCCTTGCCTCCACCCGTAGAAAAAACCAACGCACAAGGCAGGGACCACTGCTGCACACAGACTGCATAGGAAAAGAGTCAAGAAATGGGCAGAGGAAGAACTTGTTGGGCCCAGGCCTGGCCTTGGGCCCACACAAGAGGTCCCAAGCTGGTTTTATATCTATTACAATCTTGCCTCCAGCAGGATCCCTCCCCACTGTGAAAAAGGCATTAGGAAGAGCCAGCTGGCACCAGGTCACTTTGAAGACTCACCCTTCTCTGCATCCTCTTTGCCTTCTTCTTTTCCCTCCTCTTTTCCATCATCATCTTCATCCTAAGATGAAGATTCCAAAACCCAATGTTAAATCGAGTGCAGCTGTTTACAATGATTTAAATGTCAAGACCCTGCTAGATGCCAGGCATTGGGCTAAGCCTCATGCCCTCCCAATAAGTCTTTGCACAGAGGGCTTATTCCACCATTTTCCAAAAAAGGAACCAAGCTTTTGGCCTGTAACCTGCATTCTCTCTCCCAAGACCTCCCTACTTATGCTGATCATACCTGCTTGCAGAGTTAATTCAGGATGGCCTGTGGCTCTATGGAGCGTCTGCTCTGAGGCATAGGGTTTCATTTAGCCCACCCAACATAAGGTCCTACTAATAGAGAAAAGTCAAGGACCATGGTCACTTACTGCTCTGGAGCCCTTTTCCATAGTCTCAGTGCCTTCAGGGCCCTCTGCAGCTTCCCCTTCAGTGCCCTCATCTGTAAGGAAAGAGATGAGCTCAATCCAGGAGTCCCACAGGCAGAGGGCAGAAGCCCAGGGTCCCCAGCTCACCATTATCTGAATCACTGTTATCTGAACAGTCAGTGCGGGTGGCTTTGTTATCTGGTTCATCAGAACTGCCACACTGCTTTCTCTTCTTCTTCTTGGTCTGGGTCAGAAAGGGGAAGCTGGGTCAGGGTAGGTGATTCTCAACCCCTAGCTTCACCCAATTAAGGGCCAGAATGGAAAGTCTTCTACACTCACCCGGAAGTCAGCTGTGGTCCAGGTCTTCCAGGTCCGCCTCATCTGCTTTATGCCATTGCCAAACCCAAAACCAAAGCGGGAGCTGCCTGGGAAGGCGCCCCCACCACGCATACCCTGGAACATGCCGTACTCAGGGATGATGTTCTGGGAGAAGAGGGAGGGCAGCCGGGAGGCACCAGGCATGCACTGGCCCCGGGCCCCCATGGGGTCTTCCCACATGCGCCCATAGCCGGAGGCCATTGGCCGGCCACTCCGAGCATCCCGGGCCCAGCCTGGGGCCCGAGGGCCGAAGGTGTCACCACCACGTATGCGGAACTGTTCACGGTAGGCATCATATTGGCCCTCATAGGCCATTTCCATCTCAGGGTCAAGCTCATTGTAGTCATAGCTTGACCGGTACAGATCTCGTTCATTCAGGACGGCCCTGGAGTCACAGGCCTCGTAGGAATCATATCTGTAGAGGCAGGTGTCAAATATCAGGGGAGCCCCAGGGCTCTTACTTTAAGCCTACTGCAGGTGCCCTCCCCAAAACCTCCCTTTCTAGGTACAGGAAATCCTGTAACAGCACCAATCCCACCCTATTAGAGACATGTTTAGAAATGCCAGTTAAAAGGCACCTCAGGAGCAGAGTTCTAGAAGCAGCTGATTCTACCCAGGCTACATGTGGCCACACACCAGCTAGGGGACCCTAAGAAGGCTGAGAGGTAGAATATATCTGCAGAAACAGAGACATTCCACAGCCCTTAGCCCATGTTTGAAAACATATGCTTGTGGCTGCAGTAGCCCCAAGGTCCAAGGTGGCTCTTCAGAAATAGTCGAGTATCCTAATATCCTGCAGTAAACACACAAATAAATGCTCATTTGATGGGCTGATAATGCCCATGAGAAATCCTGTACTGGTCTGGTATCTCACACTTGGAGTAACTTCCCCAAACCCTTCAAAGTCACTCACTAACCCAAAGGAAAAGGGGAATGTTTCCCAGGAAACTTGCAAGCTTGTCCAGGGACTAGAAACAGAGTTCTATACATCAATCCTGAGGTCTAGGATGGGAGTGAGGGTGTGTGAAACTCTACACAGCAACTGTGAAGAGTTCTAACCATTGCTGCAGCCCAGACCCCAAGTCTCAGACAAGGTTCGCTTCTTGCCAGAGGCTAGGCAGCTGAGGAACACCAGCAGCTGTGGAAGCAGCTGCAGCTACCCAACTGCCACTCCATTCCTCATCCCTGCTCCCCAGTTGTAGGATGTGGAACTCCTGTGACCAGGTAATGCACAGGCAGCCAGCACCAACAGCAACTGAGTTCAAGCCCCATATAATACAATCTCAGTTTCAAAGTCCTTCAAAGGTTCCACTTTAAATACCATGACTGCTAGATACGAGGCCTAGCCTAGCGATGTACTTGCTGATCCCCTCACATTTTTGCTTGCCACAGAGCCCAACTACACAAGTTCCTCTTGGTACCCTCTGCTTTTCAGTGGCCCTGGAGCCTCACTGGGCTTCACTAGTGCCTGGCCACACCCATTCTTATGCTCTACATTCTCAAGCATGTCAACTGGAGTTGTTAAGACCATTCCATGCCATCCTATGCTAGAAACACATATCCTCCTCACTAAAGTCTCTTGTTAGAGCACAAGAACTCCCAGGTGAGCACAAGTTTTGTCACTGACGAGCCGTGATGCTTTAAGTAGGCAGGGAGAGAGGATAGCTCTACTATTTAACCAATGGGGTCTTCAGGGAAGTGGTGTGACCTGGCTGTGGGTCACTTTCCTTATGTACACAGTGAAGCCCACAAAAGTTCTCCACAGCAGCAATTCAGAGACTCAACAGTGGTGCATTTATTTATCAGGCACCAGAGTGGCGGAGAAATGTCCACATCTGCCCTATTCCTTATGTGGGGGCAGCAAGAACATTATGGTTAGCCCAAAGGTTCATACCACCCTTCACACTCAACCTAATCTTTCCTATTCTGCTTTCACACTTTAGTGAACTCAAATTACCATGCAGATTACCCTCCAGAGACTATAAAAGCTGTCTCTAGAGAAAAATACTCTGCTCCTAAGAAGTACCACTTAGAGGGCACAGTGTGTCAGTCCAGGGTGTGGGCTTAATCTTCCCTCTATAAGCTGGGGGAGAGGCTTGCCACCAGGCAATTAGGTGGTAGGGGAGGAAGCACATGCCAAAGAAGGGAAATGCAACAGTCTCTGGGAAACCCAGGAGCAGAGTAAGGAGAAACGAAGCAGAAACAGGCAGCAGCTCAAAGTAGGAGATAGAAGCATGAGGGAAGCACCCCTGCAAAACATCAGTTACTAGGGAGATACCCACTCACCTTTCTCCACCTGAGCCATACATGCCTCCTTGCATCATTTCTGTCTCCAGATGAGGCACCATATCTAAACGCTGGTTAATTCTGGACAAAACGGAATCGGCACTGGCGCTACCAGCAGCACTGGGGTTTGTATTTGTGTCAGAGCTAGGCATTTCCCAAGAGTTTGAAGTGGCCATACCATACCCATAGTTGGTGGTGTTATCCTGGCCATAGCCATAGCCATAGCCATAGTTGTCGTAGCCTGCAATGAGCGAGACACAGATGGTGGAGGAAGGGAGAGGCCAATAGAGGGACAAACAAAGACACAAGAAAATTTTCTGTCAAAGAGACAAGCTAGGGAGCCTAATTACCAGGGGCTGGGTGGGCCCTAGTCACTCTGATAAGGATGTCATGTTAAGAAGTAGCTGGTTCCAGAAACCTTAGGGCCCCCAAAGGCACTCCCCTCTATCTTGGCCAAGATAGACAGTGGCAAAAACTCACACCAGTTCTAAGGGAAAGGAAACTAATCATGGGAATGATACTTGCCTCTGTTTGTCCCAGAGTTCCAAGTTCCATATCCTATTAAAAAAAAAAAAAAAAAAAAGGGAGGGGTAATTACATCTACAACTGTTTATAATACAACATATATTTCTCAAACAAAGACAGTGCTTCCTAGCATCTGACTGCTTACAGGTCCCCTAATAAGAAGTGGCCAGTCTGAGAACACTACATATTCATCCCAGACGACTCTGTCCTGGTGCTGAATTTCTGTGACTCTAACCACCAGCTATTTAATAAGCCTCCCATTCCCAACACTATTAGCTAAAGAATTTGGTTCCCATATTACTTCTGTAGAGAGTCAGAATTAGATAACTCCATGCCACCAGCCAAGTACTACTCAGGCAAAGAGAATGGTTTCTGGTGCCTTACATAAGCTCTGTGTTGTACAAGCAGGTTAGTAAAGAGCCTATGAAATCATGTCACTCAAATTACTCAAAGATGCCATCAAGAACAGAAACTGACAACACCAACCCCCCAAATTGTCTTAAAAAAATTATTTATGCATATAGAACTGGGGTACAGGCCAGAGGGGCAGGGGCAGTGAGAGGATTCACCAGAGACAAAGTAAGAAGCAGAACAGGCAGACCAATGAAGTACATTGCAGAGGGGAGCAGCAGGAGAGACAGGAGAGATCTGCTGTGCCATGTGGGTCACCTCTCTGGCTAGGGATCAAACTCATGCTGAGGTGGCTGCTGCTAGCTTCGTAGTGCTGTGCTATAACCCGCTATACCACCAGGGAGGACCCAAATGTCTATTTGAACAGAGAGGCCCACCTATACCTTGACTGAGTGTACTGTGCTGAAACATATCAACAAGTGAAAAACAAAGCACAACTCTCAGCTTGAGAAAATTGTTGAGTAAAGAATCTGAATTATAAAACTATATACTGAATTATTAAACTATATACTCTCTAGATTTTATCACAACAGCAGGAAAAAAATTCATCCCTCCAGAACACAAAGCCTCTGAGAACAAAGCGCAAAGTCAAGTAAAAACCAAGTAAAGGGGAAGCCACAAGAATAAGGCATCATGTTCCCAGATTCCAGTGGGACCCCAGGGTAACTTCTTATTTCCGACTGTCTCTGTCCTCCAGACAGACAGACAAACAGACCATCTTCATTCAGCCCAGGGCAGGGGACCAGAGGGCACATGATGAATGGCAGAATTCAATGACATGAAACTAAGAGTGCCCACTGTGAGATTATGGGGGACACCAGGACAGGACCCTGAACTTGGGTTCCTCCTCAATCTTATGCACAAACAGAACAGGGAGGTGTTTAATGACTGTGAACATAGAGAAGCCACTATTTGGGGGTGAGGCGGCAACTGGAGAAGCCAAAGTAAAGATTTCTCATTCGTTTACTTAACAACTATTATGCTCTGAGCACAAAGCAGAGGCTGGTCACCAAAGGCACTCAGGTTTGTAGCACAGTTTAAAGGGGCCACTACTAAGCAGAGAGCAGCCAGGAACAACGAGGAGCAGGAAATTATGCAAGGAAGCAGCAAAGAAGGCAGATGAAAGGCAAGAAAAGCTAGCAGTCACACACGGAATAGTGCACTTAGCCCTGGCATCTAACAAGGGCCTCATCAAATGGTTGTTTGCACAAAGGACAGAGGACACTAGCTACTATCTAAAAGAAGACAGGAGTGGGAGGCAAAGGCAGACTCATAAGGGCTCTGCTTGTGAGGCTAGAATATGTTCCTCCCAGTCTTTAGTTGCCAGGGAACCTGACAGAACGGGTGAAAAAAACATTAGGAAGAGAAACAGGAGTGGGCAGTAACTGTGAACAGAAGGGCAGGCAGGCCTAATGGTTGCTATGACAGGGCTCAAGCAAACACTCCCTATGTGCTACTTGCTATGTCTGGAGCAACTCAGACCCCCTGACAGGCTTCCAAGCTGCGTCCCTTTAGGGGAAGCCTAAGTCTATTATGGTTTTTTGGCACTTCTTCAGACCTGCTTCTTCCAAAAGAACACCTGAATTTACGTCCATCCTCAAGAGTGAAAGGAAACCATGGTTGACCAATGGAATTTAAGAACGATTGAAAAAAAAAAAAGAAAAAAGGAAACAAGAAAATGCAGTGACAGTAAAAAACAAAGCAATGTGTATGTTCAACTTTAAGGTTAAGAGCCTCGGTGTAGAAATCATAGACAATCAGAAAATAATCTACTAAACATCTTACTAAAAGAACTGTTTTTAACAGCAGGCATAAAGTAGGATATACAATTTGAGTCTATTATTAATTGTCCAACTACACAAAACAGGTACGCTGACAATGTTAAGTTTTGCTACATTGTTCTTACAAATAAAGGCAGAAAAAAAAAAGAAAAATTATCCCTATTCTTTCACAATATGCTTGTCCAAGTTAAAAATTAAAAAAAAAAATTACAAGATAATCAGAGTAAGTGAACTTAGCTAGTTCAATATATAAAGATCAACCAAACGTGTACTTATCAACAATGTATAACTGAAAACTCAATTTAAAAAAAGTATCTATTTTGGAACAATGGGGAGGAGGAAGTATTGCATGAAAGAGGCAACAAAATGGGAGGGACTGTGGTGACCATTCACAGGTGATATGGTAGTGGGAAATTTACAGGGACTGCAACCTGAGGGGAGAAATCAAATACTGTACAAAAATGAACAATGATGTAAGAAAATTTAAAAATTCAATTAAAAAAGAAAAAAGGTATTATTTACCATAATTTCATTTACCGAAAAAATAAAATACTTAGGTGTAAATAAAACAAAATATGTGCAGGATCTCTGTGTTGAAAACTACTAAACACTGATGCAAGAAATCAAAGATCAGAAAAAAATGGGGGGTGGGGGTGGGTGGGTGCCCTCCCTGGTGGCACAAGGGGTTAAAGCACAGCACTATGAAGCTATTGGCGGCCACTGCAGCACAAATTCAATCCCCAGCCAGGGAGCTGACCTCTCCTGTCCCGCCTGCTACTCCCCTCAGCAGTGTATTTCGAGTGATCTGCCTGTTCTGCTTCCCACTCTCTCTCTTGTGAATCCTCTTAACTCCCCACTCCCCTGGCCTTTACTCCAGTTCTTGTGTGAATAAATAAATCTTTAAAAAAAAATGAAATGGAGTGACACACTGTGTTCACTGACTAGAAGACAATACTCTCAAGATGTCAATACTCCTAAAATAATGTATAAATTCAAGGCCATCCCTTTCAAACTATCAGCAGGAATTTTTATAGAAATTGACAAACTGATTCTAAAACTTATCTACAAATGCAAAAGAAAAAGAATATCCCAGTTTATTATAAAAAAAGGGGCATACTTGGAGGACTCAGGTTAACTGATTCCAAGACTTACTAGTTATTGAGAGTGTGGTCATAGGAATCTCCCTAGAGGCCTGGGGGTTAAGTCTCAGTGCAATCACCATTACAGCCTGAGTTCAATCCCCAGCCAGGGCTAACCTACATATAGTGCAGACTATCTCTCCTGTCTTGCCTGCTGCTCCCCTTAGCAGTGTATTTTAGTAAATCTGCCTGTTCTGCTCCCCACCCCAATCCTTCGATGTGAAAAAAAAAGTGCTGTCATAGATGTACAGGTCAAGGAAAAAAGTTAGAGACCACATATATACAAATATGTGCAACTGATTTTCAAGATAAACAATCATAACCTATATTGCACATCTTACAGAAATATCAAATCAAAATATAACAGAATAAATGCAAAATTTAAAATTACACAGCATCTAAAGTGCTTATCAGAAGAAAGTCTTAAAAAGACAAAAGATATACCACCAAGATCACAATCTATTAAAAAAAGACTGAGGGCCTCTCAGGTTAAGTCTCATCACTATGAAGCCTGTTTTGCTCCCCATTATGTCTCTGATAAATCCGTAAACCCCATCCCCCCACCTCTGCAATGCATAAATAAATGAAATACATCTTAAAAAAAAAAAAAGAGCAACTGATTACATAGTTGCCATCAAAATGAAGAACTTGTGTTCCTCAAAAACCACTGACAAAAACAAACAAAAAAAACAAAAAACAAACAAACAAAAAACAACAACAGGCAAATCACAGCCTGGGATAAAAAATTGCCAAAGTCTCAGCAAATAAAATCCTGTACTTGGAATATATAAAACAGAGGGGAAAATAATTCCAAAAAGATGTGTAATTTGAGACTATGTTTGATTAAAAGGGTAAGAGGCAGGGAGGACAGTGTAACAGAAGCCATACTACCAAATTTCTCTTACTTTATGATCTGGTATCTCCTTAATCAATTTTAAAACAATGGTTCCCTGACTCCCTGAAACTACATGCTAATGTTTAGGGAACGTATTTATGTCCATTATTTATTCAGTTGACCCCTGAAGAAATGTTACTATATAGGCCCAGTCTTTCTCCAGGCCCTGGTGGTAAAACAAATGACTCATCCGAATAATCAAAACATTTTTCCTTATTAATTCTAAAGATGGTTCTCTCTCAACAGATACCTATGGGAAGACCAACTTTCAATAGTTCCTGAATGCTGAAGCACATCCACAGAATGTTTATGGACTTCACTTGATTATTTTAAGAATTTTAGAGTTAGTAAGTCTGTTCACATTTGAGAATTCTCTGAGAGATTCTTCTCTCAATTTTGAGTGGAGGAGCCAAATGGCCTGAGATGGTCCTAAAAGCCTACCAGAATCAGATAGGCAGCCTCCCTTAGTACTATGCAAGGGCTAGGGTATCATGGCTTGGTTTCTGCTCTGAAAAATCCTTTAGCTTCTAACTGGACACTTCCTTTCCCAGGCCCTCAGGGAAAGGCATTTGTTAGACTACAGGTACCTTAACAAATATAAAAGTCAAAGTCCCAATAATTTACAGTCTCAAGAATCTGAGCAAGAATTCCAGCTTGCTCAGCAACACAGACATCTTTCCCACAACTGCCCCAAAGGGAAGTATTAGCTATTCTAAGAATCTACCACACTGTTTTACACAAGTTTGCATTAAGAAAAGAAAAACAAGGTGACAGCAAAGCTATAGGTAACTTAAAAAAAAAAAGAGAGAGACATCAGACTTCTCTACCACTAGAAGGCAGAGTATTCACCCTTTAGTTCCCAAGGGGCCCACACTTACCATAATCACAGGTGGGCTGAGAGCTGGTGTCCGAGTATGTCGACTGCAAAGTGGTTTCAGATCCCTGCACAAAGCCTAAATATATACATAATATGGTTAGATTCCCCAAACAAACTGCATAAGAAAGACTAAAAGAACTTAACACTTGTTTGAGACTGGTTGGCAGGCCTTCACTGGAAAGTCACCAAAAATTCTAGCTTCTGAATATTTTAAATACAATCCCAAGCTATATTAATCATTGCAAAGGTTATGTTTAACTTGTGATATCAAAAGAGCTGGATAAAAATTTTCATACACTTTGAATGAGACCCCATTTTGATAAATAAGTGACTCTGGAGGTTACTCCATTAAATAAGGAAGATATTTATAGAAAAATCACTCAGGGAGTTGCCTCCAATTCAAACAAGTAGAGGTTAGTTTAGAATAGTAAAGTAACACCTCCTTCCTTTCCCCCAAATCTCAAATAGAAACTGCTTGTAATTTTTCAATTTTCTCCTAAAAAGTGTGTGCATTACAATTTACCTCTTAAAATGACTACTTTAGACTAACATGCTTATAGGGAATAAATATTTTATAATACATAATTTCTTATTTTTCTCAACTCTCAAAATAGGACAAATTAGTACCAGGAAAATGTGAAACTCTGTAAACTACTGCTCTTAAATGCTGATTGCAGCAGATTATGATGAATTCTGACACTTAAAAATACTTTAACAGGGCCCTCCCTGGTGGTACAATGGGTTAGGACGCAGCACTGTAAGCTAGCAGTAGCTACCTCAGAGTTTGATCAGCAGCCCCGGAAGTGATCCACATGGCATGGCAGACCTCACCTGACCCGCCCACTGCTCCCCTCAGCAGTGTACTTCATTGATCTGCCTGTTCTGCTCCCCAGTGTCTCTGGTAAAGCCTCTCATCAGCCCTGCACCTTTGGCTTTTACTCCAGTTCTGTATGAATAAATAAATCTTAAAAAAAAAAAATATTGCAACTGAGATGGAAAAATGAACAAAAATATGTAAAGATAAACTAATATAATAATAAATAAAATAAAAAATAGAAAAAGAAAAAAGGAAGATCCAAGTTATCCTAAAAACAAAACAAAACAAAACAAGGCTTCCATGGTGGCACAAATGGTTAAGCTCAGTACTATCAAGCTATCAGCAGCCACTGTAGCAGGAGTTTGCTCTCTCACCAGGGAGCTAACACACATGGTGCAGCAGACCTCTCCTCTTGCTCGCAGCTCCCCTCAGCAAGTGTGGTTAAGTAGATCTGCCTGTTCTGCTCCCCACTCAGTCTCTGATGAATCCCTCACCATCCTGACCCTGACACCTCTGGCCTACACCCCACCTCTTCTATGCATAAATTGAAACAAAACAAAGGGCCCTCCCTGGTGGTACAAAGGGCTAAAGCACAGCACTATGAAGCTATCGGCAGCCACTGAAGCACTAGTTCAATCCCTGGACAGGGAGGTGACCCATATGTGTGGCAGACCTCTCCTGTTCTGCCCCTTCTTCCCTCAGCAGTATATTTCAGTCCATCTGCCTGTTCTATTCCCCACTCTGGTGAATCCTCTCACCCCTGTACCTTTGATCTATACCCCCGTTCTTGTATGCATAAATAAATCTTAAAAAAAAAAAAATTCACCCGTGGCACTGAAATTATGGTAACACAAAAGGCTGTATTTCCCTATTTCTACCTGAGCCAACTCATGATCTAAAAGATAAAGCCAGAGTCTTGAATAGCTTACTCTTAACAAAGGTATCCCAAATACCTTTCCTCAGGATAGACATTCACATATTTGTTAATAGTCTCTGTAATTTATCTCCTAAGACCAGAGCAACAAGGTTAGCAGTAGCAGCCAGCACTGATTGTTTTCCCCCACAGGGTGCTAAGAGGTTTATATCTGCATTATTTCATTTCATTGCCACTACAGCCAACAAAGGGAACAGGGCCAAGATCCCTTACCCTGCAATTCCAAAGTCCTAAAAAGGTCTGAGAACCTAGTGTTCTCCTCAATTATGGTGACAAAACACACTTGGGGCAAGACTATCTTATGAGTACAATACCATTTTTCTTTACCCCACTTAATGCAAAAATGTGTTTACAGAGTGCTGCCCCAGATCCCAGTGGGGGTGTGGTAGAACACTGTTCTTTTAAAGCTAGTGTTCCAAAGCACACCAACCAGTTAGTAGATCCTCACTGATCTGTCTCAGAGTAAGAAAATGAGATTTGGCACTGAGGAAAGAAAAAGTCAAGAGTACGCAAGTTGATTATTTGTTTGGTTTTGTTTTACCTACCCTAAGAGAAGGCATTTAGAATAGATTTCTTCCAGGGACCCAGGACATTCCTGAGATGCCAGGGGGAATCCTCAGGCCATAAACCTGCCTTCTCTGCTGTTTAGACAAGTAGCTTCTAGAAAACTCTACAGCAGTAAGACCATCTGCAAGATGGTCCCAAACTGGTTAACATCATTTGTAGACATTGTAGAAGCAATTAGAACTTAACACAATTCAAATTCTGTTCAAAGGAATATGTACTGGAACATAGTGCAAATGTAGGGGTCCTGGTACTTACTGGGAAAAAGGAAATACAACCCATCAAGCCTTCAGAGCTCAATGGGAATGAACCTCTGCTCTGGTTCTGTCCTTCCCATAATACTGTGATTTCTGGAGGACTTTTTTTTTTTTTTTAAATCCAAAAGAGCAGGTTATGATATAAAAAAGGGAAAGGGGAGAAAAGGAGGCTTGCACATAAATGGACAGAAAGAACTCCCCTGAGGAAGAAAAAGAGGCACCTGTACAGTCACAGGTGGGCAGGAGAGCTGCCTGAACAGAATGCTTTAGCCAATTATGAACAAATTCTTGCCTAGCTCATACATCATTCTTCTCTTGGGTTTAATTTATCAACCTGAGCAGTTTTGGGTAGCAAATTAGCTTTTGGACCTATGGAACTAAAGGTCAGATCATGGACTTATGATAATTATGCATCACAGCCTCTTCCTGGTCAGCCTGTCAGATCCTTTTTTTGCTCAAACATACACAGAACTTTTCAGGTTTATTTAAAAAAAAATTTTTTTTAAAGGGACTTCTTTGAAGGAATGTTCTGTGACAAAAACAAAAGGCAATCAGAATTAGTTTTAGGTTGTGTGCCTCCAATGTCTGGTAACCAGCTTCCAAGATGGCTTCCCAATATTATGGAATCCCTTCCCAAACAAACGGGTAAGACACTACAGAAATTACTGAGTGTGACTTGAGGCCTCCACCTGACTCTTGGGTCATTCAATCCGGGAGAAATCAGTCACCAAACTGCAAGGACGCTCCAGCTTTGGTCCACAATAGCCATTATCAACATGCCAGCCATGTGATTTTCAGTCACCCTAGAAGTTAGATCCTCTAGTCTTGATCAAGCTTTCTAGTAACTATAACCCCAACTAACATCCTGTATGTAACTGCACGAGAAATCCCAAGCCAGGCCCAACCAATTATACCAGCTGTGCACTCCTAACACAGAAATTGTGTGATACTATTACTATAAAAAAGAGCGATAACATTTTGGACCTTTGAAGGATTTTTCTGTTCTGTTTTTTATTGCTGCCTTCTAACTCCTCAATGTTGGAGCTTCTTTCCCCAAGCATACAGAAAATAACTGGATTCAAAAGTTGGACAAGCTACTAAAGAACAAAAAATTATGACCATCTTATTTGCTTAATAACAATGGCAATATCTGCTTCAAAGTCTCCAGAACTTCTTTTTAAAAGCAAATATTATTTAGAAGTTATTTACTTTGTGTTCTGTTTTTTAAAAGTAAAGATAGTTACTATGGTTTTCAGTTGATTAAGATCAGGGAAAAAACTAATCATAAACCTCATTAATGTGGCTACTTCAGTGCCCATTCAAACTCAGAACTATAGCCTGTAAGATCTGGAGTTGATGGTCCTCCCTGGTGGCACAACGGTTAAAGCCCATCACTGCAAAGCTATCCGAAGCCACTGCTGCATGAATTCAATTTCTGTCCAGGGAGATGACCCACATGGCAAGGCAGACTTCTCCTGACTCACCTGCTGCTCTCCTCAGCAAGTGTATTTCAGTACATCTACCTGTTCTGCTGCCCACTCTGTCTCTGGTGAATCCTCTAGCCCTCCACAACTCTGGCCTGGACTGTACCCCAGTTCTTATTTGTATTTAAAAAAAAAAAAATCTGGAGTTGAAATCACACCTAGCCGTTTATGGACCTCTCTAATTCAGTTTTCTTAGCTATATAAATACATGCCTCATTTCCTGCAGCCCTGCCCCTAAAAACCATAGTGCTGTCTTCCAGTTCTTGAACAGGACTACTTTTTTCAATTTTAGAGATATTAACAACAACCCTAATGCCTATCCTCCTGAACCAGGAAAGCTACTGGAAAGGCTAGGGCAGGGCTGGCCAACTTTATTTAGCATTATTGATGTTTGGGATCAAATAACTTTTTGTAGTGGGAATCATCTTGTGCACTGTAGTATGTCTGGCAGCCATTTCAGGACCTATCTCCAGATGAAAACCAAAAATGTCTGAGACTAGGTTGGGGTGAAGGGGTGCAGAATGGCCTACGGTTGAGAACCACTGGGTGAAGGGATGGCTATTTGAAAAATTGAAGCTCCTGCCAAGTTCCTGATTTGGGAGTCAGAGGAGTGAGGAACGGCACCACCTTCTAGCCTAAGACAACACAAAGGAGTCCCAGGGGCTCAGGTTCCATTCTCGGGCCCTCAACATTCCGAGTAGAATACAGGTTACCCAGCAACCACACAAGTTCAAGCCTGTTATAACCATCCAAAGGGGAGATTCGTATAGTCTCTGGCTGAGACCCTTCAATGATTACTGTTAAGGGCAAACCAGGCCGCCTCTCGGAGTTCACCCAGAGATGATTCACAACTGTCAAAAGCATATCACAGGGTCCCCCTTTCTCTGACTTTGTTTCGTTATCCGTCTCTTCGCCCAAATCCCACTGGCTTCCCCGGTAGATCTAACAAGCCAGGTAGTTGCTGCCCATGGTCCGTTATGACAAGGGTTCCCTGTGCCAACTGCCTCATTCCATTCAGGTCTCCGCTTAAGTGTGACCTCCAAGGCCCGCCCTCCCGCCCCCCGAGAATACTAACCGCCCCAGAAAACACCCTAAAAACATCTATTTCCCTAAGGTTCGCCCTTGCCTACACGCTGCTGGAGAAATTTCCTGTCAGTCTTCCCAGTGCCTACTGGGCATCTAACACGATGGAATTGACAGGCGTTGAATGAATCCACGGGAAGCTTCATTATTCTGTAAAGTTCAAACTCAGACTGAGCACCCAAGGCACCCCACTCGATTCAAAGCCCTAAGACAAACTCTCCCTGAGGCCTTGGCGCCTCTCCGCGGCTGGCAAATGGGGGTGCGGTTGTGTGTGTGTGGGTGGGGGGGCGCTGCGCCATTCTGCAGGGAGACTGCACTGAGAGGGTGCCGCAGTGCGAGGACGGCCGAGCCTGCGGAGCGATCTAAATCGCTCCAGGAGCCCTGGGGTACGGAAATTTGAAGGGGCTAGGCCAGGGAAGCAAGTGGAGAGAGAGAAGGCCTCAGGCGACCGGGCCGCGATTCCCGGACTCGGGTCTCCGGCGGTCTGGAGCTAAGACGTGAGACTTCTAACACCGAGAATGGTGGCGCCACGGCGTGAGGGGCGCGAAGCTGAGGCAACCAGCCCCCGGCGCCATTTTGTGACCGCAAAGAGGGCAGAGTACCAACCCCGAAGTACCGGCGCGGGCGAACACAGAGCGGCCCCAGCAATTCTCTGTCCCTCCCTCCCCAAGCCCGCCACAGCCCACCCCGACGGGCCCACCTGTGTAGCTCATGGCGGCGGCCAACACAGCACCCGAAGGAACAGGCAGCTGCTACGCGTCCGAAGCCGCGAAAGCCGCGACAACCCCCCTCCTGGGCCCTTACTACTCACAACCGAGACCCGCCTCCCGACTGCATTGGCTCGCGCAAGGCCCAGGCTTCACACCTATTCGTCAACTGGACCGTTTGTCTCAGCTCTTTCTCACGCTAGTGGCTAAAGATGCTGCCAATCTAAATATAGCCACGCCCTCTCCCTCGCCTTCCGTTATCCCCAGCCCGTGATGATTGGCTGAGCGGTAGGAGTCGTTGTCGAATTCTAACGAACCCGACTTTGCAGTACGGAAAGACCTGAGGCCCAAGAATGGGCAGGCAGAAAGCGCTCCTGTGGCACGAAGGACCGCCAGAGGGAGCCGGATCTACAGGGAAGGGGGCACCACCACTTGGATCCCAGTTCTGCCAGAGTGCTGCGCAAAGCTGGCCAGGATGCTCTTAACTCTTTTGGCAGTCAGCTTCAAAACAAACGTGGTAAAGCCGAGCTGGAGTGAAAATTACAGCTGAGCGCCGAACAGGATGTTAAGCGTATATTTGAACAGATCATAACGTCTGTAATGAAATCATTCTGGTGCTGTTGCGCTGAGTATTCGTTATTAATCATGACGTGGTGACACACAATATATTTACATATATGTAATAAATGTCTGCATCTCAAATGTTTCCTCATACCTTTGAGGGCCATTTTTAAAAACCCCCTAAAGATAACTGAGACTTGTTCAAGGTCCTTGATACTCAAGTGTTACCTCTTAAGATCCTCCTTGGTTCATTCTGGACTTTGGATATCCTGCAGTAACAGGGCAATCTCCAGTCCTCTTCTGAGCACCCTTAGTGGAGTTGTGGAATCTAATGTCAGAGACCCCTCATCATTACTGAGAAAGCAGCAGACACTGGAAATGTCTTGACAATGTGAAAATTCACTAACCTGTACAATTATTGACACTTTGTTTTAAAGTTTGTTTCAAAATGCTGTTGCTGGGCTCTCCCTGGTGGCGCAACGGGTTAAAGCACCTTATTATGAAGCTCTCCTAAGCCACTGCAGCACGAGTTCAATACCCCGCAGGAAGCTGACCCATATGGTGTGGCAGACCTCTCCTGACCCACCTGCTGCTCCCCTTAGCAGTATGCTTCATCGATCTGCCTATTCTGCTCCCCACTGTGTCTCTGGTGAATCTTCTCACCCACCACTCCTCTGGCCTGTACCCCAGTTCTGTATCCATATATAAATAAATCTTTTTTAAAAATATGCTGTGCTGCATTTTTGATATTGAAATTGCCAATTTCCTTAGGTGCAATATTTTTTTTTAAAGATTTATTTATTTGTGCATACAGAACTGGGGTACAGGCCAGAGGCTCAGGGGCGGTGAGAAGCTTCACCAGAGACAGAGTGGGGAGCAGAACAGGCAGATCTACGAAGTACACTGCTGAGGGAAGCAGCGGGCGGGTCAGGAGAGGTCTGGCTCGCCATGTGGTCTCCTCCGGGCAGGCCGCAGGCGGGAATCGAACTCATGCGGAAGTGGCTTCAGATTCTCAGTGCTGTGCTTTAACCCGCTGCGCCACCAGGGAGGGCCTCTTAGGTGCAATATTTTAAAAAGGCCATATCCTTAAGGAAAACTTACTGAAATATTAAGAGATTTGAGACAATGTGATTTGCCCCAATGCAAATGAGGAAAGGTAAAAGAGCAACTTGAAATTATATCTGAATATTGGTGATAATTGTAGTAGATGAGGGTTCATCATACTTTTGTATAACGGGAATTCTATGATGAAATGTTTTGAAAAATCTTACCAAAAAGATAGGACTTATGCAGAACTGCTGCCAATATGGGACAAGGACTGTGACGCCTTAAGTGAGAAGTGCCATACATAAAGCAAAATGTGCACTCTGGCTTTTGGACTCATTTCAGTGTCAGTGTCAGGATGCTTGCTTGTCCTCCAAAGGCAAGAACCTGGGACACACATCCTGAGGTATGTACTGACAGCCATCATTTTATCCTCACTTGGTAATTTAACAACCAATGCACTACCTCTGAAGACGGGGTGTGCTTGGAGGTCTTAGGAAAAGATACCACTATGGCAAGAACTCTGTGTGACCCAAAGACCTTCACAACTTGCATGGCTATGGTGGGGAGAGGCTTCCCAAGTGACTTTATGAGCTATTGTATTGTTTGAATTCTTTTTACATCAGGTTCGTATCACTTTTATATTTTTCAAACTAACTTGTAAAAAGATGAAAGAGAAAATGTCTTTGAGTTAGCTTCATTCCACAAGATGCCTACCTGCATGGTAGGATGGGTTAGAAAGGTCAAATTCCTCCAGTGCTAGGCAAATGTATAATCTGACCTCTTATGAACAGAAAACCTAAGCTTGTCGACCAAGACCACTCTGTGGGTATGTTAGCACAGCTTGTGTTTCCCCACCCTCCCCCAACCCCAGACAGGGGCTAGTTGGGGGACCTGGAGTAATAAGGTTAGGGGTAGAGGAGGTCTCTACTAGCTATACCCCAAGAGGTCATTGCCACTTTCCAGCCCTTAGCCATAGAAGTAATAACGATGAGCTGAAAAATCACATGCAATAAACAAGGAGCAGCCAACAAAATCTCTTAAAAGCTCAGAAATGTTCAATAAACATTTGCAGAGTGAGAAAATAAATAACATCACAGAGGAACTAGCAGCTCCTTTTCCCCCTCGTATTACTGGGGTTTGGGATGTATGTATGTGGACAAGTCACATTTTGAATGCAGGCCAGTCCCATGAGCTATGTTTTCCCCTCCACCTGGAGGGTACCCACACCCTCACTGGATAGATCCTACTAAGCCTTCTAACCTGGGTTACTTCTCCATCTTGACTCCCTTCCCAGACCAGCTGCCTAAAGCCCTGGTTCTCTCCTCTGCTTACAAGAACCATGTCACTGGTTGGCTAGGGCTTCCCACCAGCTATGCCAGCCATTGAGGACCAACAGCTGGGAACTTGGGCTTGTCCCCAGAGGGGTCTGGCTGGCTAGGAGGAAAACCCAGGGCCTCCAGGGGTTCTGAGCAGACAGCTTGATCCCAGCCCTGGCTGCCAAACAATGCCAGCCTGTCCAGTTGACAGAAAAACACACGCTGGCCGCCTGCCCCGGGGTGTTTCCAGAAGAGAAATTTAATCTAATTTACATACTTCTAGGTACATCGATAACCAAAATGTGGCCACTGAAAAAAGTTAAAAGGTCAATCGACTCCCAGTTTCTAGCTGGCCCAGGGTTGCAAAATAAAAAGATTCACGTTCCTTATTCTCTACACAAAACGCGTTTTTAAAAAAGTGAAAGGTCTAGGGAGCTATACATAGAAAGCAACAGTGAAAAGAGGGAAGGGAATAGGGGTGGGGGGAGAAGAATCCCACCCCCACCCCTTCCTGGGCTCTGGAGTCCAGGGGCTCTGGGGGGCCTTGACATGGCAGGAGGCAGCTGTCAGCTCTGAGCTCTTCCCAGCCGGGAAGGCCCCTGGGGGGTCAACAGGATTTCCGTGGCATTGTGGACTCAGTGGGGAGCTCCCTGGCCCTATCAGGCCTGCAAAGGGAGTGTGCCTTCCCCTGAGCAAGCACCGTGGCATGACGTGTGGTTGTTCAACTCAGGAACTGGGGGGCTGGGGCAGATCCCGGGTCTCACGAGGTGTGTGCGTGTCTGTGTTCGCATGAGCGTGCATGTGAGAGGATATTAACCAGGGCAAAAGGGAACCAGGACAGGGGTCTTTGGGGTCTTTGCAAATGGCCACAGATGGCAAACATAGCCCTATCTGGCTGCTAGACATAGGGGCATGCTGGCCTGCCTCCCCTGTGACCAGAGACCTGGCCATTGCCCCTGCTGGAATGGGTGAGGGTGGGCTGGAGGAAGTTGCCCTGTGGCCCCAGTGTCCTCAGGCTGGGGTAAGGATGCCCCGGCTGTAGTGTGCCCGGCCCCAACAGGTGCCGGTTTGAGGTTCTGGCTTGCTCCTTTGGAAACGGAAAAGAAAGAGGGAACAGAGGGAGGAAGAGGAGACGAAGGTGGCACAAGAGGAGATCTGGAATGCTTCTGTGTTAGGGTGCCTCAGCTGCCGCTGTCTGTGCCTGCAGTGCCTGGGGCTCGTCGGGTTGGGGGTCCGTTTTGGAGAAATTCATCTCCAGGATGTGCCGCTGTAAGTGCCGCACCCATTCCTCTTGGATGGAGAGGGGCCCCTGGAATTCCACCTCACAGAACCTGTATGTGGGGGAGGGGGGAAAAGGGTAAATCAGAGGGAAGGAGAAACCTAAACCATGAGCAGAGGCAGATGCATAACCCTGCCCACATCTCTGCACCAGTGGTTGTACCCTGAATGTCAGGTGCAACTGCTGCTACTAAGTATGGATACATAAAGTCAAGATTTGAGGAAGGGTGGCCTAGAGGCCAATTGCTTCCCTATATATAGTCACCAACCTATCACTGGGTACGGTGGGGTCCCTTGAAGACCCGTCTTTATGATCAGGGAGGGCTGCTGTTTCAGAAGCTGGGGAAGAACCACTGAGCTTCCAGAGCACCTTCACCATCTGATTGAAGCATGTGATCTGGGACAGGAGAGGGCCCAAAGAAGAGTCTCACTTCTACTCAATGCCTGTCCTTGAGTACCACAGGCAGCCTCAGAGCCTTAGTTTGTGGCACTAAAGAATTGGTTCAAATGGAATTCTGACTTTGCCTGTGTGCCTTGAGGCAGACCCCCTCATGTCTCAGAGTCCTAGTTTCTTTGCTTTCTGATGAATGTGAGTAGTTTGGTAAGAATTAACTACAATCAATTTTTATTTTTTTCTTTCTCAATTGACACTTGCTCCAGGTGGTCTGCAGGCTCAGAAGCCGAGTGTTTTCAAAATATTCAACTCTTAATCCTTATAATAAATCTGTCAGATAGGATGTCCCCAGTAGTTTTACTGGTAGAGATACTAATGGCTAGAGCAAGAAGGAAGTCCTTGTTCTCAGTCACCAAAGTCTTAGGTCACCAAAGTATGGTATTTGAACCCAGGTCTCACTGGTAGTTATAAAACTCCAGATGAAGCCTGATGCCTTGAGAACTGCTTAGCGTGGGTCTGGCCATGCCTCAGGGCAGTCTTTGGGACTCAATCTTCTGAACCTCACCAACCCTGTCCTATTCTGAGGCTCTGGAAGGCTAAGCCCCAAGTGGATGGTGTCCCTACTCCCCTCTCTTCCTTCCTCTTTCCCCTCCTCCCCCAGAGACCTTGTACCTGCACTTCAGGGTGTAGATGTTGCCAACAAACTTGACAAGTGAAGTCTGGGGGGGTCGGGGTACCAGGGAGGGAACCGGCCGAACCCGGGGTGGGGGTTGCCGGACCTCCTCCAGCTTCTGCTGCAGGTCATTGGCCTCCTCACCTCCCCGGGCTGCAGAGGCATCTGGAGGGCGGGCTTGTCGGCGTTCAAACTCTGAGGTGGGAAAAGGCAGGGAGACAAACAGGAGATAAGCTGGAGTGCGAGGCCCCCTGGGGCGTTCCTGCCTTCAGCAAGCAAAGGGCAGATCCTGTGGTGCACTATAACACAGTACAGCTGGTGACAGAGTCAGCACAGGACTTTCCAAGGGCCCACTGCCCTCACAACCCTCTCCACCAGCACTCACTGTTGATATTTTGCCGTTGGTGCTCCTCAGCCTTCACTGTGCCTGGTGGACTGGCTGCTAGAGGCCGTTCACCACTGTCGGCTGCTCGGCCTGCCTCGGGCCCTGGCTCACCCCCGGCACTGCGGCCCACCATGGCCAGGCCCCCAGGTGCCAGCCCCAGGGGCGGCCGCCTGTCACCATCGCGGCCATGGCCAGCACTGCGGAACTTCTTGGTGAAGGGGCGGCCGCCCTGGATGTAGCTGCGGTAGGCGCCCACCTTCTGGGGCCTGTGCTTGATCCATTCGCTGAGTGTCTCAATGGGTGAGCCGTTCACACACCACTCTGTCACACCAAACTGCCGCAGGTGTGCCCTTGCGTGGCTGGCCAGGGCCTTGCGGTTTTCGAAGTAAAGGCCACACAACTCACAACAGGCCTCAGTGGCTGTGGGGCAGAGGGGTGCTGTTGAGCCCCAGCCCCAAGGGAGCAAGGGGCCCCAGAAAGCCCTGTCCAAGTCAGAAGCCCACATCCCACCAGAGCCTTGCCAAGGGACCCCTGCTGGGGGGTCGGAGTGAACAGGGTCATGCCCGGCCCTGCAGGCCCCAGCAAATGCCCTCCCAGGACCCTGCCACCCACTGCTTACAGGAGTGGGAGGTCTTCTCATGTAGGCTCTTTGCCTTGAAGGGCAGTTCAGTCTGGATGTATGTCTTGGCCTTGACCTCTGCCGGGAGGAGGCGGTCCTCCTGCAAGGGTCGCTTGGCTGCCACTGAGCCCAGGTAGCCGGTGGCTGAGGGCTTGGCACCAGTTATGGGTGCCAGGCTGAGCTCACGGGGAACCTGGGCTGGGCCAGCTCCTGGTTTACCCAGCCGGCCAGCCATAGGCGCCAGTGGCAGGGGCCCCTGCATGGGCCCTGGGGCCGCTGTGGGGGGGCCGTCCTCAGCCAAGGCAGGGGCCAAGTCTCCAGCAGGTGGCTCCTTCTTGATGAGGCATGGCTTGGACTTCTTTTTGAGGATCTCCCGTAGCGTATCAATGGGCGAGCCATTGACAGACCACTCGGTCACACCCATCTGCCGCAGGTGGGATCGCGCGTGGCTCGACAGACCCTTGCGGTTCTCGAAGAACTCGCCACAGAACTCACAGCGGATATCACGCACTGGCTCTGCCCGGGACGCTGCAGGGGGTCCAGGATGGGGAAAGGGGAGGAGAAGGAGGCGGCAGCTGCCGGCGGGAAGCCTCCAAGCTCAAGGCCCAAATTAAGTGCCAGCTGCCTGACTGCCTCATCCATGCACCCCAACTCTGAAAGACCCATTCCCTTGTCTGCTTCCAGAAGCCCTCATGTATGTCCCATTCTGCTTGTTCTGTCACCTCAAGTTCTAGCTGGCTTTACAATTACTTCTGTGACATTGTTAAGCACCGAGGAGCAAATGCTTCCTTCATCCTGGGCTCAGAGGTCAGCTTGGTTGGGATCCCAGGTGTAATGCTAGACAAGCCACTTCTCTCTGAGCCTCAGTTTCCTCCTCATAAAAATGTAAACGGAGACCTCCATCTCCCAGCATTACTGGAAGGGCCTAACACAGGAGCCATTCAAAGCACATGATACAGCATTGGCATGAAATATGTACTTCAGTGCTAAGGTGGAGATGTTGTCCAACCTCACCACTCAGCACATAGTTCAGCCAACCTGAGAATGAATACAGTGACAGTGGGAGAGGGAATCAAGTGACAGAGGTACAATCACTGCATACAGAGAACTTTTTAAATTGACACTGTGTTAAGTGCTTTTCAACACTTAAGTAACCCAAAAAGAGTTGGGACTGTGCTGATCTCTATTTTCCATAAGAGGAAACTTGCCCAGGGTCACGTGTTGCTACACATTGGAGCAGCTGAGATCCTGACTTGAATCTCCTCCAAATGCCAAGCTCTTAGTGACCAGAAACAGCAGAGACACAGTTCAGATACCTACTTCTGCCTATACTCCTGCCATGACAAACATCACTAGTTGATCCTTGTGGTCTTTCTTCCTAGAAGCTGGATGACAGCTGCTATCAACTGACTGAATTTACCATCCCTGAATGACACAATTCTGCCTCCCTCATGTAGGAAAATCAAGCAGGAGCTTAGTTGGGGGTCTGCACAGCAGGAATGTGCAGTTTGCTCCACAGCCTCTGGACCTGTGTATCCTCCCTTCCATTTCAACCCAGGGCACTCTGGGTACCCCCAAGGGGAGGTGGGGAGGAGGCCCCTCCACCTAATCTCCCTGCCCTTCCCCAGGGTCACACTTACATAGGTTCAGAGGGGTCAAGTCTTCCCGAGGTGCCGCCCAGGGACCCTCAGATGGGTGAGGTTCCCCATGAAGGGCCCCTGGCAGCATCTCCCGCTTGATCTCCACCCGCATTTGTTCAGGCTTCAGCTTCTTAGGCAGGGAGGGTGCAGCCAGGCCTGGGAACATCTTCCGGGCCGTAGGAGGAGAGGCAGTTGGTGAGTGGCCTAAGGGGCTGCCTGGTGGCGGTGGCAACTTCTTGGCCAGGGGTGAGATGTGAAGGTCTGCGGGACTGCGGGCTTCCAGTGAGCTGCCAGGACCTCCACTGCCCACCACCTTGGCCAGGGTTTTTGGGCTAGGCCCTGGTGGGTTGGGGTGTCCTCCAGGCCGGGACTGGGTCCGTCTCTTGAGGATCTCCCTCAGTGTGTCGATGGGTGAGCCATTGACGTACCATTCAGTCACACCCATCTGCCGCAGGTGGGAACGTGCATGGCTGGATAGGCCCTTGCGGTTCTCAAAGAACTCACCGCAGAACTCACAGCGGATGTCCCGGGCTGGCTCTGGGCCTGAGGCTGCAGCAGGAGGAGGAAAAAGAGGCAGTTAATATCATGGGCATTGTCAGCATTGTCACCTGTGGGTCTCCTGGTCGTCTGGGTGTGGGCAGCGCACACCCATGGGCTGGGGTGGCATTGGAGGGCAGGTATAAGCTAGGGAGCTGAGGAGTGGGATGGGAGGCCAGACACCTGGCAGGAGCAAGGTGAGGCTCCAGAGGGCACATGGGCCCTCAGTTCTGGTGGTGAAGAATGGAACCAAAACTCCAGGGCTCTGTGGGTCCCAATAAGGAAAGGGGCAAGAGGGCAGGAAGCAACCACCTAAGCAGCCACCCTAAGGGGCAACTGTGGGCATCTTCCACACTAAAAAGGCAGACTCAACCCTTGGCCTTGATTCTCAGGGAAGGTCACAGTCATAGAGGTCAAAGGCCAAGAGAGAGGGCCTAGTAGCCGACTGCCAGTGAGATCTCTTGGCAGATCAGGCCCACTGCCAAGGGCCCCTTGTCTACTCCCTGCCCAAGCAGGGAGGGAGTAGATTGGGGGCTGTGAACACCCCCCCGGGAGGGGCTCCAGGGCCCGCAGGGAGGAGGAGGCAGCTGAAGTGAGAACCTACAGAGGTTGAGAGGAGATGGCTCCACATCAGAGGCCCAGAAAATGCCAGCGGCTGCAGCGGCCGAGAGGTCCTGCTTCCCCCAGGGGTTGGCCATACCCGCGGCCTTCAGCTTGGCCTTCTTGGCCGGCGGTGGGGGGGGGAGCAAGAAGGCCGCGGAGGCCAGAGGAGGGCGACCCAGGTGGGCCAGGGCGCCGCGCCCTGTTGGGAGGCGGATCTGGACGCCGTCCCTCCTGATGAGCCCGTGGAGCACGTCTATGGGGGATCCCTTGGCGTCCGGGTCGCTGACGCCCAGGTGGCGCAGGTGGGCGCGGGCGTGGCTGGACAGGCCCTTGCGGGTCTCAAACCAGGCACCGCACAGCTGGCAGTCCAGCTCTCTGCCCCCGGCACTATCTAAAGCTGCGGAGACAAAACACAGGGGGGGGTTCACGGCCGCCACTTTGGCCGGCCCTGGGGACTGAGCAGGTGGGCCTGGTGTGATTCTCAGCTGCTCAGGCCATTGGGGGTTCAAGACTAGTGCCACAGATTTCTATTAAGAGGTTTGGGGAAGCAGGAAGTCCTGTTCCCTGCCTGAACTCTTGGCATCAAGGTGAGTATGGAGAGTGTGAAGATGTGGGGTGGAGAAATGGTGGCACTATCCGGTGCTTGAGGGCCTTATTCTCTGGGACCCCAGTTATGGGACTGTGCTAGGCAAGTGAGAGGTACAAAGCAGGGACCCACCCAGCTACTAAACATTACACAGCCAAGGGCACAGTTGTTCCTGGCAGCACAGCAGATATTGCAAGCAGCTTACTGGACCATTCAGTGCTGATTTGGAGTAGGGGAGGACAGACCCAGGACTTCCCCCAGACTAATATCCACAAACAGGAAATCAGGAAAGCCTGATTTCCTGAGGGATGCTTGGTTAAATTTGCTCACCACACCTGGGGATTTTCTTCCCAAACCCTATTTTGCTGTGCCCATAGGCAGCCCAGGGGGCATCCATTCCTGGGCACAGTCGGAGATGCCTTTGCACAGAATAGTCAGGCAGATGTGATGACAGGGCCAACTATGAAGTCTCCTGTTTGAAGGATCCACAATGCCCCACCAGGGAGCCAGGTCCATGGGAGTCCTGGTCACCTTTACTGCCCCAACCCTCAGATCCAGAGAAGGACAAGAGCTGCCTCTAAGTGGTGAGAATGAGGCTGGCAGGCTCAGCAGTCATGGCCAGGTATCCAGGGGAAAAACAGTGATGGAAAGGGAAAAGGGGATGATAATACGCAGCATGGACAGCCCAACAGGAGACGCAATGCCCAACCAATGCTCTGACCTGGCCAACCCAGGACATAGGAGCTGCAGTTCCCAATTTTCCCCACCCTGGGCCCTGAAGCCCAATCTGAGGCCCCATCCCTCCCAATGCCAGGACCTCCCTTGGCTCCCGGGGCCCGAACTCACTGAGGTTCAGAGGCCCCTCGTCCTCAGACTGGGGCCACTGTGCCTTTGGGGAAGCCGGCCGGGGGCTCAGGGACAGCTGGGGGCTCTTGTCTTCAGGATTCTTGGGGGTGGGGGAGCCTGCCAGGGCCAGCGGTGCTTTCTTGAGGAGTGGGGAACTTGGTGGGTGACCCAGACCCTTGGCTGAGAAGCCAGGAGGAGACTTGATGGCCTTGTTGACTGCAGGAGCATCCAGGGGTTTGGTCAAGGTGAGTAGGCCTGGCCGGGAGGCCCCAGCAACCACCTCCTTTGGAGAGCTGGTCTTCTTGGTCAGACCTGGGGGCAGCCCAAGGTGGGTGTCAGGCAGGCCTTTCTGCTTCACAAGCTCGTAGAGGAGGTCGATGGGGGCGCCACTGCTCTCTGACTCAGCAACCCCCAGCTGCCGCAGGTGGGAGCGTGCATGGCTAGACAGGCCTTTCCGTGTCTCAAAGCAGGCGCCGCAGACCTCACAGGTGGTCAGGCTCTGAGCTGAAGGGCAAGACGGAAGATAGGAGAGACCCTTGTGAAGTCACTCCCCCCACTTACCCTCCCCCCATTCATCCAGAACCCCTGCAAGTATTGTACTTCTGTAAAGGCCTCCTGATCCTCAAAATGACAATGAGCCTGTCCTGTTTGCAAATAAGGAAACTGAGTCAGAGAACGGTTATGCTAAAGGACACACAATAGGAGGCAGAACCTTTCTGTTGTCTAGTCAGTGGAACACCTGACTTTCTCCAAAGTATCAGGGTATCCTGGCAACAGATTTTTAAGCAAATGCTAACCTGCTAGGCATATGCTCACACAGTTAGCCAATCTCTACAGTCCTAGTCATCCCATGCAGGCCCCAAATTGGAGGCCCAGCCACAATCCATGGGATGCCCTGTTCTTCAGAGCCCTTACACGTGCCTGTCTGATCCTCTGCCTTGCTGCTTCCCAGATTCAACGACCCAAAGAATCAGGGAATGTTCTAGTTTGCTCCTCTCACATACTAGGGATCTAACACTGTACTGGACATGAAAATTAACAGACAAGTCTACATCATGCAGATGGTCACACAGCTAATGCGAGCCAAAGTTGGCACATGAACTGGGTCTGAGTGTGAGCTGAGGGCCATGCTCACTGTTTCTCTATATGCTTCTTCCTCTCCCAGTGAAGGTGTAGGTCAACATCAAACATGCATGCATACCCAGGGCAGCAGAAGCTCAAGACAGAAGACAGCTGTAGAGAATCCCAGGGCTACTCCCTTGGAGTAGGAGGGAATACTAATGTCAACTTCAAAGCCCCACATAATCCCAGGCCTAAAAGCTCCCTTGTGAATTTGGCTAGCCTGGCCAGCAACCCCACCATGCCACCTGGGTCACTCACCCTTGAGGTCCGGCAGCTCCTGCTTGCTGCCATGAGGAACCTCTGCAGCCACTTTGCTACTCAGCCGATTGGCCACCTGCTCCAGGGGCCCAGGGATAGGCAGGCTCTTCTTGGGGAGCGGGGGGGAACCCAAGTCCATGGCCACCATTGTGTTTTCCTCAGAACCTAGGCCTGTGAGGTTAGGAATACATGCTCAGCCCATGTAAGATTTAGGATGTGGGGATGGTGGTGCTTCTTCCACTTGGTGCCTGTTCTCATTTTGTGGGGGCAGCTCACCCCATGAAAGCTGAGGTTCCTCTCATAACCCACAGCAGAAGTACAATACAGGGATATCAAGGCTGCCTGCTGACAGCAAAGAATAGGATCAGCAGATAGCAAAGAATAGGGTCAGCTTCCAGGCAGGTCAGGGGATACAGTGCTAGTCTGACCAGAGACTCCCAAGCTATGGGATGTCACAGAAAATATTTCTGGGAAGAAATTGTGGAAAAGAAGATCTGTTCATCTTGGGAGTGTGAGAAGGAAGGGGTGGGGTTGGAGGTAGTTAGAAAGGATATTCCACAGGTCAAAGAGGCAATGCATAGGTGGGGAGTCAGACAATGAGGCAACGTAGGACAGGGAGGTGGCTCCATAGACAACTTGGGGTCTCCCAGTATGTCTACTTATCACCAAGTGAACACAACGTGGGTTAAGATGAAAAGTGGATGCCTGGATCAGCAGGGATCTGACTGTGGACAGAATGAACACAAATCACTGAACTTGTGAGAAGTTTCTGAGACCATCTATCCTGGGTCAGGAAGCTGGTGGGGGGGGGGTGTTGGTGGGGGGGAATAATAGGAATATCCATCCACCTTTGAGGACAGAGTGAAAAGGTGGGTTTTACTGTTCTAATTTTTCAGAGAAAGGGACATGAGAGGCCTGATGAATCCCGAGTTTAGCGTTCAGGGCGGAGGGGAGAGAACTCTGAAGATGAAGGAACTTGTCTCAGTTGAGGCCCTGGAAACGCTCAGTGCTATGAGAAGAGAGGCCAGCAGGTCCCGGCTCACTTTGAGTCCTGCGATGACAAGGAGAAGGCAGGCGGAGGGGGCCATCAGACCCCGGGACACCGAGGACTTTGTCAGTCTGAGTGGAGTGGGCGCGTCTGTCAGACAGGGCAGGGACGTGTCAGGGCTGAAGTGGCTGGGAGTGGGTTTCCGCGATGAAGGGCCCGGGACTGCCGCAAAGGACGATCCCGGGCTTCCAAGGGGCCAGGGGGGCATCTGTCAGACCCGGTGAGGGCTCTGCGGGGCAGCGGTGAGGAGTGTTTCTCAAGTCCGAGATCGTGCGAGCGGCGATTGGAGGCGCGGGGCCCGCTCGTCTAGAGGGCCTGGGGGTAGGGGGTCCCGGAGACCAGACGGTGGGCGGTGGGGGCGGCTGTGGCTGCGGGTGGGACGCCGACCCAGCCCTCCCCGCACCCTCCCCAGCGCGGGCTCTTACCCGGCGCGGGCCCGGGCCCCG